TAGACCAAAGAAAGAAATTAAAAGGATACAAGTAGCAAAAGAAGAACTCAAACTAGCCCTATTTGTTGATGACATAATTTGATATTTAGAAGATGCAAAAACCTCTACCAGAAAACTTTTAGAACTCATAAATAAATCCATCAAAGTAGCAGGATGTAAACTTAACACCATAAATCTATGGTGTTCTTATATATCAGTGATGAATCAACTGAAAAAGAAATTATGAAAACTATTTCATTCACAATAGCCTCCAAAAATAAAATATTTGGAAATCAATCTAAAAAAAGAGTTTTTAAAGACCTTTACAATGAAAAACTACAGAACACTAAAGAAAGAAATTGAAGAAGACTTTAGAATATGGAAAGATCTCCCATGTTCTTGGATAGGCACAATTAATATTGTCAAAATGGCCAAACTATCAAATGTGCTATACAAATTTAATGCAATTCCTATTTAAATTCCAATGATGTTCTTAATAGAAATAGAAAAAGCAGTCATGAAATTCACTTGTAAAAATAGGAGGCCCAGAATAGCCAAAGCAATCTTTAGTGAGAAGAGTGAAGCAGGAGGCATCACAATACTGGATTGTAAATTATATTTCAGAGTTATAGTAACAAAAATGACATGGTATTGGCACCAAAATAGACATGAATACCAATGGAATGGAATAGAAAACACAGAGACAAACCCTATAGTTTAACTATAGTTATCTCATACTCCATGAACGTACATTGGAGAAAAGATAGCCTCTTTAACAAATGGTGCTCAGAAAACTGGAAATCCATATAGCAAAATGAAATTAGACCCCTATCTTTCACCCTGCATAAAAACTCAATTCAAAGTGGATCAATGATCTAGGTATTAAACCAGAGACCCTGAGCCTACTAGAAAAAAAAAGTAGGTCCAAATCTCTATCATGTCAACTTAGAAACTGAATTCCCCAACAATACTCCTAAGCGCAAGAAGTAAGATGAAGAATCAATAAATGCGACGGGTGCAAACTAGTAAGCTTATTCACAGTAAAGGGAACAATCAATAATGTGATAGAGCCTACAGAATAGGAAAAAAATCTTCCCTGCATGTGCCTCAGATAGAGCATTAATGTCCATCAGATAAAACTTTTTTTTAATAGATGGACACAATACCTTTATTTTATTAATTATATCTATGTGGTGCTGAGGATTGAATCTAGTGCCTCACACGTGCTAGGCAAGAGCTCTTCCACTGAGCCACAACCTCAGCCCAAGAACTCAAATAACTTAGCACCAAAAAAACCCAATCAATAACTGGGCAAATTGAGCAGACACTTCACAGAAGAATTATAATTGATCAACAAATATATGAAAAAAATGTTCAACATCTCTAGTAATTAGAGAAATGCAAGTTAAAACTACACTGAGCTTTCATCTCATCAAGTCAGAATGGCAGTTATCAAGAATACAAGTAGCAATAAATGTTGGTGAGGATGTGGGGAAAAGGTACACTCATATATTGCTGATGGGACTATAAACTGGTGCCACTATTGAAATAAATATGGAGATTCCTTAGAAAACTTGGCATGGAACTACCATTTCACCCAGTTATCCCACTTCTCAGCATATACCCAAAGGATTTAAAATCAGCATACTATAGTGTTGTGACCACATTAATGTTTATAGCAGCTCAATTGGCAATAGCTAAGTTATGGAACCAATCTAGGTGCCCTTCAACAGAAGAATGGATAAAGAAGATGTGATATATATACACAATGGAATACTACTCAGAATGACTTTATAACTATCGCTGGTAATTGGATGAAACTGGAGACTACCATGCTAAGTGAAATAAGCCAATCCCCAGAAAACCAAAGGCTGAATGTTCCCTCTGACACTCTGACATGTGCATGCTAACTCACCATAAGCGGGGCGGGGGAAGGAAGAACAGAAGTTCAGTGGATTACATAAAGGGTTATGAAGGTTAGGGAGGAAGGATGGGAAAAGACAAGACAGTAGAATGAATTGGACATAACTTTCCTATTTTCATATATGATGCATGACCAGTGTAACACCACATTATGTACAACCACAAAAATGGGAAGTTATACTCCACATATAATATGTCAAAGTACATTCTATTGTCATGTATAACTAAAAAGAAAAAATAAAAAATTTAAAAAACCTGTATGATTTCTTTAAAATACTATCCTGAAGATAAGAAATATTATTTTACACTTGTTATGATTTTCTCTTCTATATAACACCACATCATTAAAAGAAAAAAGAGGATTAAAAAGTCAAGCTTCAAATTGAGGAAAAATTCTTTCAAAAAATATAGTCGATAAAGGAATCATATTCAGAATATATAACCAACACTTAAAAACTCAACAAGTAATAAACAACATAAGTTTTAAAATGACATTTATTTGAAAAGACAGTTCACCAAAAAAAGATACACAAATGGGAAAAAAAGCCCATGGAAAGATATTCAACATTATTGATCATGAGTATAATGTACAATAAAACAATAATGTATGGATAATAGACACCCATTAGAATGGCTAAAATTAACAAAACAAAACTGACAATACTGTGTGTTTGTGAAGATAGGGAAGAACTGAAACTCTCATATACTGTTGTTGAGAATGCAATGGTACAAATACTTTGAGAAAAATTTGGCAGTTTCTTAGTAAGAAAATATAAAGGGGCATTAGGAGATGTTCATGGGTGATTATTTTAACTGTCTTGATTACATGAGTTATTGTATATGTTTAATACATATGTCATAATGCATCAAATTCTACACTTCACATATGTGCAGTTTATCATATATTAATAACACTTCACTCAAGCCATTAAAACCCAAAAGTTCTATTGCAAGAACAAACATCTAAAATAGTGGTTATGACACATAAAGAAACAGAATAAAGCTGGAGGACTGAGATCTTTATCTTTATAACAATGAGAAGTGATGAGTGGGTTTTAAGGAAGGAGTTAAAATGATAAGATCTGAATTTTTAAAAATAGGTAAATATAGTTTCAAAGCAGACCATGGTTTCAGGAGGTGGGGTGAGCAAACAGTTGCTAAGATTATTGCAGCAGTACAGATACAAACAAAAGTTTTTTGACCTGTCTATGCTCAAGACACAGAACCAAAACAAAGTTAACAAAAAAGACTGCAGTACTATTCATGCTAAGAAAAGTACAGTGGGCATTACTGTAGCTCTTTGACTCACAGTGTGTATAAAAGTTCTCATTTTTAAAAAAATATATTTTCAGTTGTAGGTGGACACAATAGCTTTATTTTATTTATTTATATGTGGTGCCGAGGATCAAACCCAGGGTCTCACATGTGCTAGGTGAGCACTCTATTACTGAGCCACAACCCCAGCCCCTCATTCTATTTTAATATAAAGCATATTTCTGATATGAACAGCACTGTAACACATCAATGTTTATGGTGCAATGCTAAGCAACGTGTGTATATATTAATATAATATACAAAAAGGCCCTATATTTATGCAATGATCCTACCTTTATACTCCATTCTAAGTTGTTCAATTAGCAGCAACATATTCTCATAACTAGGGTAAAGCAATTCATAATCCTCTGAGGCTGTTTCAGACGATTGAGTTAAGTCATCAAGGTCATCCATAGCATTTATTTTTTGGGGGGCCTATAAAATAAATATTAGTATTTCAAAATGTCCCCTCTGAATATTTAGACCATATACTAAATTTACAGAAGTGACAATTACTCCTAAGTTTTTCTTTTATTTTTTGGTACTGGGGACTGAACCACCCAGTGGTGCTTTACCACTGAACTACATACTCAGACCTTTTACTTTTTTATTTTGAGCTTAGGGTTTAAGTTGCCAAGGCTCGCCTTGAAGCTGGGTCCTTTTGCCTTGTCCTCCTGAATCACTGGGATTACAGGAGTGTGCCACCCTGCATAACTATCCATGTTATAATATGAGCAGAAGCACAGGTGCTTCTTAGAAGAACTGACTTTTGTCAAAAGGATACCTTTATCAATAGCCACTATTTCTTAATCACTTTTTCAAAGGAAATATGTATATATAACAAAAGATTCTCTATTCTTTCACTTTACTTTTTATAATGTATCTGTAAATTTATATTTTTATAATGATTAGCTTTTACAATACCTTTTCCTTTTCAATAGATGCTTTCTTTATGGGCCTAAAATAAAAGCATAAAATCTTTATAGGCAAATATTAAATATGTAAAATACAAAGACTATCTGAACTGTTATCATTTTATAACATATTTGCATTTCAATTTTATTTTTTCCATTCACAAAACTAACAGGTTATTTAAAATGTAATAATTTTCTATAAGGGGATTCAACTATAAACAAAGAGTAACAGAAAGGGACAACAAATGATACTATAATAATATCATAACAAAGAATTAAATTTAGGTCAAACTTTGATCAAAGCAAAAGGAAAAAACATAAAGTTACTTTATAGAAAGAAATACATAAGGTTTTTTTGTTACTGTCATTTTTAATAAAAGCGAACTTTTATGGGCACTAAGACATATTTAGAAAATATCGCTAAGTCCTTATGTAAGAAATCCTTTTAAAATCATGATAGAAGTTAATTTTTTCAGGACCTACTATGGAATTGGTATGCATTATTTTAAGCACTATAAATGTGTTTTAAGCTCATTTTAATGCTCATAATAATTCTGAGAGGTAGGTACACATTAGGTATCTTATAAAGGAAGAAACTAGGCAAAGAAAGGTCAAGAAACTTGCCTGAGACCATATAGCTAATCAATGGCAAACCCAGAATTCAAACCCAGGAATTCTGGCTCTATAACATGTGTTTCACATGTGTTTTGAAACAAACATTTATCTTCAAGTGCTTTTAAGTGATACAATAGCAGATTAATCTGCATAATCATTTCACTTCTGGCTATAATTATAAACAGTAATTTCTTTCTTTTTCCTTTTTCTTTTGGTACCAGGGATTGAATCTAGAGGCGCCAATCTCTAGGACACATCCCTACCTCATTTTCATTTTTGCTTTTTTTTTTTTTTTGAGACAGGGTCTTGATAAGTTTAGCGTCTTGCCAACTGCTGAGGGTGGCTTTGAACTTGCAATCCTCCTGCCTCAGCTTCCTGAGCCACTGGGATGACAGGTATGCACCACCGCACCTGGCTAATAATAATGATTTCTGAATCTTGCAAATATCTTTTTCAAAATAGAAATATTTTAAACCTAGGCAATTTTGAAAATCTACATTCAATAAACCAAAGACTGATTTTTTCCTAAGGAAATTAATGATTTATCATTCATCTTTAAACATAAACTTATCAAACATGTCAGTGACACTGCTGGTATATGGAAACAGACTTTTTATACTTTAAAACTTTATATTTCAAAAGTAATAATCCATGCTAGGTTGTTAGTATTTTACTTTCCTATGTACATAAACTAAATCCTCCCCATTTCCCCAGAATTTAAACAATTATTAAACTGACACACCTGATATTTTAGACTAACATACAAAATAATAGCTATTTATGATGACAACTATCCAAAGCACAAGGTATGATTACCTTCTATTTAGTGCAACTTAAATGTTTGTATATTTTTTTTATTACATAATTTAAAAAAATCTATGTGTGGCAATTAACTTTTGGGTCATTATTTCCATGCTCCATTATATTAGGAATACCACTTCTGAACCAATTCATGATGAACAACAATCTCTTATCATAAAAAAAATACACACACACATGAATAGAAGTTCTAAGAACAATTAATTTACTATAAATGCTCAAAAATAATATGTGAAGCTTTCTAATACTTCAACATGCAAACATAATTGAATAAATATGTCCTTTTCTGCTGAATCATTTCCAACAGCATGCAAGCATCCACTAAAAACTTCTATTTTAAACAAAAAGAACTCTCTTTAATTCCATATTCTTCTTAGTTATTACTGACTTTTCTATTGTCTTTCCAATTAAGAATTCTTTAAGTTATTGTCCATACTTATCTATTGCAGTCAGGTTTCCATAGTGACCATTTATTGAAATTGCTCCTTGTCAGTCACTTGTCCTTATTTTAATCAACTTGTTAGCAGTGTGATATCACTGAGCATTCTCTTTCTGCAGACCATGCTATACTGTTTTATTTCCAGAAAAGTAATCACTGTTAACATTCTTTCACAAGGAAATAAATTTATAGATTTTACCTTTCTTCATCCTGATCTATTTCACTTAAGTGGCAACCATCCTTTACTTGTATTAGACCACCAGTTAATGAATCAGCCATCTCAAATGCTGGTGTAGTCACAGATTCTTTGGAGGTATATTTTTCATTTTCATTTTTCTTTACTTCTTTTTTTCTTTTTTTTAAGGCAGGATCACTAATTTAAAAATCCATTAAAAAGCCTGTGTTTAGTAATAATTCTACTGATAAACAATAAAAAATTCCAAATCTTCCTCATTTAAATTCATTTATTAATTCAGAAAGTTATGGAGCACCAGTGAATAAAATAAAATGTATATTCCCTGCTTCAAACAACAAATAAATATACAATTATAATACAAAGTGTTACATAATAGTGGACATATGAAAAGTTATTTCTACATACAAGGAAGTTGAATAATATCTTGAAAGCCAAGTGAAGAAAGTGTTTTAGAGGAGTTTTTCATTCGGTCAAATATTGCTGACAGGTTAAGTAAAATAAGGTGGAAGAAATGATGTCAAGAGTTATTAAAGTGAAAATCAGTGGTGACCTTGGGGAAAATAATTGTGGAGCAGTGGCAGGAATAAAACTTACTGAGTTCAAGAAGGAATGGAGGGCTGAGGTTGTAGCTTAGTGGTAAAGCATTTGACTAGCACAAGACCATAGGTTCCATCTTTAACAACACACATACACAAGCACACACTAAAAAAACTGTTTATAGAAATGCAATAAGCTAGATTTGCTAACCCTTGTGCTAAAACCCAAGTGTTAATGCAGTAAATCTTTAAATATACCATGTATGCATGTAATTATCTTTTTTATTTTATTTTAATTTAGTTCATTTGTTTATTTATTGGTACTGGGAACTTAACCCAGGGGTGCCTTACCACTTGGCTACCTCCTCAGTATTTTTACTTTTTATTTTGAGGCAGATACTTAGGGCTTCACTAAGTTGCTGAGGCTGTTCTCAAATTTGAAATCTTCATGCTAGCATCCTGACTGGCTGGAATTACAGGCATGTTCACCTAAGTCCAACTCATTATCCTTTCTAAAGATGATATATTTCAATATGTACCACACCATATATTTCAAGTAACTTTATATACAATTTATAAAAATTCAGTTTATAAAATGATTTTTTGAATTTTCCTGCTTATATTCTTGTTATAGAATTCAATAATTTAAAATGAAACACTATTTTCTATATTTGAATAGGATAAAATACCTAGAATTAGAAAATTTCTTATGAAGCAAGAAATACTGTCCATAAAACTTTGGTCTATTGATAAAAATGAGCAAAGTGATTATCAGATATAACTAAGACATTTTCAGGGATATTTTAGCTTAGTTTAAGAATTTATTATTTAATTCCTTGGTCTAATAGTTTTTTAGTACCATATATATGTAACTTAAAACACTTTAAAGTGTTAAAATATACTATTAATCATTATATAAGGATTGAAAAATTTAGGTCATTCCCAATGCCACCTAGCTGTGAAACCCTTGAAAAAAGAGTCCATACTTACTGACTTAGATGTTTTGTAGTCATTCTTTTTTTTTTTTTTGCTAAGCTACACCCCAGCCCCTGTCAATAAAGTTTTATTGGAATTTAATCTCACTTACTCATTTAATGTCTATGATAGATTCTGGATTACAACAGAGAACTTCGGGTCCACAAGACTAAAATATTTACCATCTGGTTCTTTATGGAAAATAAGTACGCCAATTCCTGATTTAGTATAGCAAAAATTCTTTGATGAAAGTTTTAATAGGTTTTATCTAATATACTGAAGTACTGATGGAACAAGGATGCCCTTAGCAATTTTCAGATTAATTTGAGAGTCAAATATTTAAGCACTAGACATTGCGAACAAAACCCCAAAATCTAATGATTATTTTTTTGGTAATAAGGTAGAATGTGAATATAGCATGTAGCTTCCTTCTGCAATTTAACAGATTATACAAGTGTTAGAACAAAATTTGACTAGAATTTGTCATCAAATTGCTTTAAATACATTTTAATTGTGCACACTATAGATATAACCTCATTTTTAACCATTTTATACTCAAAATTTTTTTCCATAAAATTATAAACTATTTCCTCATTGATGAGTACTTAACTATCTCAAACTTTGACGTGACAATGCTATAATAAATCTTTAACATTTACATACATGTATTTAACACATTTATATAAATATTCTTTATATGCTATGTTCTTTGTTTACATTATATATAATATGTATAATAGTAATGCAATACCTAGCATGTTTATCATAATGTATTTATATATGTGTGTGTGTATATATATATAAAATTATGTGTCTAACAAATGTGTGAAAGCATGTAATTACAGCTGGTTTTCCTGTCCCAGAGGGATCCAGTTAACAGAAATGAAGCTGTTAGGTTAAAATAATGATATATTTGAAAGTTTGATACATGATACTTAACTAAATTACCCTTCAAAAAGCATTTCAACGTTTCAAAAAGTATTTACCAATTTCCTTTAGAAATAGAGCATGATAGAATGCCTTTGTCCTCACATTACTCAACTCTAGTTATTATTTTTTAAGAAAATTTTTATTAGTTTAATTGGATGATAGTTATCTTATATTTATTTTCATTTTTCTGATATCCAGAATGAATATCCCTAACATAGCATAAAATTTGTCAACCACAAATATTAGCCCAAATTAGAATTAGTTTTACAGGACAGCAACTGTTATCTCCTGTTAAACAGTGCCATAGTCTTACCCTTCATGTTTTTTATTCTCCTCAATAGGAAATTTCTGGTTATCAGTTTTTTCATTCTTTCTTTGTTGAATTAGTCCATCATCATTATCTGTGGCAGCAAAACCATCAGATAGGGTTTCTGATACTTCCATTTCATTACCTTTGTGCTCCTTCCTTTTTTCTTCCACCTGTAATAAAAAGTTCTATAATAAGGGTGCCTGTTACTTTTCAATTAAAAAAAATTGTTTTCAATGATTTTATCAATTGACCCAAGTTTGTCATGATTTCAGTCAATAAAAAAATTTTGTGCTTACTTTGTGAGGGATGGAGAGCCTCATTTAATTTTTCTTTTAAACATATCTCCATGTTTTTGTTCATCTCATATTTCCACCTTTCTACCCTGGAGTCAAAAACCAAATTTTTGGCTGAAGGTTTCTGCTACTTATGTGATTTCATTCATGCCAAAATTTAACAAACTTTATAAAACAACATATGTAAAGGGCTGATTAAATAAAAACATTTGAGAGTGGTGATAAAAATATAAGGACCTTTATATATTTTTAAAAAATATTTAAAGTGGTCATGTTGGAATTATAAACTGGAACAGTTTGAGTAAAATAAATATAACTGTGCACACGAAAACAAAACAAACATATAAGTTTGCTGGAAATATTTATTGCAACTCTCAATCTACAACCTTTCTCACTCATTTCTTTATTTATCATTATGTTTACATAGGGAAACAACAACTCAAACTTAGTACATTTTTTGTAACTTCTATGCTCATCTTGGTTTAGAAAGTCTTATAGTATAGAGCTAAATTAGTTTCTTAGTTCATATGTTACTTGGAAAACTGAATGACTAAAGATAATTAAAGAATAAAGATTATGAGAATATTTTCCTGAACTCTTGTATTTTAGATGGGAGACATAATTTATTCCTAAACATAATTTCATATTTATATAACTTCATTTTATAAATGAGCTTTTAATAAGCAGAAAAATCAGAATATAGCTCATAAAGAGAAAAACCAAGAGTACATGCTTTTGAAATATCTTTATCCTTAAGTAATCAAAGGGCATGGGCAAAGAAAAGTTAGAAAATAATTAAAATTTAATTGTTGAAGTTCTTAGTGTATATTCAGCTACTCCCAAATCACTGGACTGTAACTAAGAAGTGAAAAGTAATTCATGTTAAACATTTAGGAGAAAAACATGAATGAACAAACTTAACTTTGTCACTATTTGTTTGAACTAAACAATTTATTATGCTTTAAATTTATCAAAATGAACTGATGATTTTTAATATTACAAAGTCTTCATTACATAAAAAGATTTTACTTCATTATACTTTAAATAGGGAGGGCTTATTGTACATTTAAATCCTTTTACCAGTAACTGGAAAGCCAATATGAATAAATACCAAATAGAAAAAAAATCCTAAATTTTAACTCAAGTGATATATTATGATAGTTTTATGCAATTATATGGATTGCGTTAAATCTCATTCTATCATATTCTAAAATCCACTGAAGATAATGGATAAAAATATTTTTATAATATCTACTAACTTCCCACATTGAAATAAAATAAGTTAAAATGTTACTGTTTGTACTCTAAGACCAAAAGTTCCATTCTAGAAGAAATGATTCACTTAACAGGCAGTTGGGTTGATTTTATGACCCTGTTTTCTCTCTTATCACAGACACTGAAATAATAGAGATCAGAAGGCAAAATGAAATTTTTAAGTATGGTATTGGCATATATAAAACTACAAGTTTTGAGCCACTGAGAATAATCATCCCTTAACATGAATACAATTCAGTGGTTGTCACTGAATTGTTATATTGTTCATAACTTCAGCTCTCTCATTTAAAAACTCAAATTTGATCTTACCTTTTTTATCATGTAAAGGTGATTTTACAAATGGAAGCTCAAACAATCTTCAGAAAAATTTTGCCTAAATTCTATGAGTAAAGTTTAGTTATAAATTATTACAGATTATAAGAATATTTTGTTTATAACTAGTTGTAATGCTTTTAAAATTAAATATTAAGTTATGATCTACTGACTTTAAAAGGCTAGTCTGAAAAATAATTTTATTTGGCCTATGCTACCTTATTAAAGCAAAATAATATTAAACTAGAAATTTAAATTTTTACATACCTGTGACTGGTTATTTTCACTGCCATCAAGCCTTTTTTGCTCTTCTTCTGATGTTACTTCTAAGTTTGGTTCTGTTTACAAATGTTAACATCAACTACTTAGAAAAATGATAAAAAAGTAACAATCTTTATAAAAATAGAAAGTAATAAAAAGTTAAAATAAGTTTTTATTTCCCTACATACAAATTTAAATTATACTTAATCTTTAAGTGAATATTTACTTCTTTTGGAAAAAACTGTAGTAATCTAAAACTTCAACAAATTGGAGACACTAGATTTTACCACATTCAAAGCATACAAACAACTCAAAAGATTCATCCACAGATTCATTCACTCAAAGTAAGTGAATAAACCCCCTGAATTAAAACTTTTAATCCTATAGTAGTACATAAATTTGCATAACATATTATTCTCTACCCAATAATAGTAACTTTTAAACAAACGGCTGAATATTTTCTTCATCATTATGGCTTCCAACAGTACTGTTACTTTTCATCTTTATCAGTAAACACTTTGTTCCTTATTTCTAAAATGTTTTCATTCACTGTTCTGACAAATTTCTTCTTTTATGACTCAGTGTGCTAGGTGAAGTCTTCCTTAATTGTGGTTATTATTCCCTACATGAACAGCTATTAACTTTCCTAAGGGCTACTGTAATACTTTTATCAATTTTTTATTGTATATTTACTACTTGTATTGTAAATTATTTCTTTCCATATCTATCCCTTTTGCTCCTAGGCTGTAAAAATAAAACAAACAAACAAACAAACAAAAAACATGTTGTGTCTGAGTAGGCAATCTTTAAATTTTTCCTACTTAGCCTAAAAGTTCTAAATATGCTGGGCCCCACATTTAAGTTTATGCTAAATACTAGGCTAAACAAAGTTATTCCTTCTCCTAATTCTTTTTGTTATTTATATGTAAGGGAAAGAATACATTATTTATATGTTATGTTAGGGGAAGAATCCACATGCCTTGTTAAAAGGTATTCTGTTTGGTTGTAGGTAAGAAGAATAAAACACAAGGTAAAAACTATGGTATCGCCAGGCACAGTGGTGCCTGCCGGTAATCTCAGTAGCTCGGAAGGCTGAGGCAGGAGGATCTCAAGTTCAAAGCCAGCCTCAGCAATTTAGCAAGGCACTAAGCAACTTGGTGAGACCCTGTCTCAAAATAAAATACAAAATAGGGCTATCTGTGGCTCATTGATTGAATGCCTCTGAGTTCAATCCCTGGTACCAACAAACAAAACAAAACAAAACAAAACACTACAACAAAACTATCATACTAGTCTGGGTGTCCAGAAAATGTGGTATATATACACAATGGAGTTTCATTTAGCCAAAAAGAAAATAAAATTATGGCATTTGTAGAACAATGGATAGAACTAGAAATGATCATGTTAAGTGAAATAAGTTAAACTCAGATTAAGGGTCCTATGTTTTTTCTAGTATGCAGAAGCTGGAGAGAAAAAAGGAAAACAACATTGGGAGTGGATCTCCTAAAAATAAAATTACTAGACGCCAAATTATAATGTTATATCGTTTGCATGTACAAATACGTAACAAGAAATTGCCTCAATATATACAAGTATGATATCAATAAAAAATGTAAAAAAGAAAAAAGCACATAAGGAAATTTTGCCACAAAAAGATTTTTGAAAAGTCAGAACTACAGTAATATGAAATCATGCACAGGTACTCTATAGTTGTATTCTCTATGTTTCTTTATTACTTTCTTTACTCTCTTTGTTTTCTGCCTTCTGTGATTCACATGAGGAGAATAATTCCTTAACAGAAACATGGCCCAAATATTCATCTTTTCTTTATTGGTTAAGGTTATCTTTCCAAATTCTATGGATGGTGACTGATTTTTAGTCACTGATTGTGATACAAAGGGATATTTATCAACAGGTTTCCTATTACTAGATCTTTTTTCAGATTTTTATAACTTTTAATTTTTTTTATTTGTTCATATTAGTTATATATAACATTAGAATTTATTTTGATTTAATAATAAATGCATGGAGTACAGTTTGCTCCAATTAAGTATCTAGTACTTACCTTTATCTCCCCCGCACCCTGCTCTCTTTCCTAAACACTAGAGATCTATTTATTTACTTTTTTTTTTTTTAAATTAGTGTCTTGTGGATATATATAATGGTAAGATTCACTGTAAGATTCATATATGTACATTGGAAAGTTAGGTCAGATTCATTCCACTGTTTTTAATCTTACCCTGTCTCTTCTCCCTCCCCCTCAATCTACTACTACTCCCTGAGCTTTCTTTTATTTTGATGGCATTCATCCCTCCATTTCGTTCCTCTCACTCTCCCCACACAAAGTTTAGAATAGCTTCTGTATATCAGAGAAAACATTAGACCCTTGACTTTCTGAGTCTGACGTATTTTACTTAGCAGTATAGTCTCTCAGTTCTATTTACCAGCAAATGATATAATTTTGTTCTTTTTCATGACTGAGTAAAACTCTGTTATGTATATATACCACATTTTTTTAATCCATTCATCTGTTGAAGGGCACCTAGGTTGGTTCCATATCTATTGTGAATGATGCTATGAACATTGATGTAGCTACATTCTTATACTATGCTGCTTTTAGATCTTTTGGATATATACCAAGGAGTGGGACAGCTGGGTCATATGGTGGCTCCCTTCCTAGTTTTTTGAAGACTTTCCATACTGGGGAGTGGTTGCACTAATTTTCCACCAATAATGTATGAGTGCACCTTTTCCCCCATATCTTCCCCAAAACTTATTATTATTTGTATTCTTGATAACTGTCATTCTGATTGAAGAGATGAAATCTCAATGTGGTTTTGATTTGCATTAAATTGCTAGATCTTTGACAAGTCTTATTACTGAGGATCAAACTAATAGAACTCTGATCTGAAAATTTTAAAAATAAGGTTTTAATATATTAGAACATAAATGATGATAACAGAAGTGAAACCAACTTATGCAAATTTTTTCTTCAGAGAAAGTCCCATGTCTACCTGTACCTCACATACATCTATTCCTTCATGGCTTATTGTATTTTATATATCCTGTACTTGCCATTCATTTAGATAAGTTTAATTACTTATTTATCATCTCCCTATTTTACTACATTTTTATTTATTGGTATTACAGTATTTTGTGTTTCACTCAGTCACCACTATCATATTTTATTTTCCAAGAAAGCATTATTTTTCATTAAGATTCTTCAGAAATATGAATTTTGTATTAAAATTTAGGTCTAATTATTCTAAATTTAAATATGCATGATAGTATTTGCATTATAAAAACATGGGCTTTAATGAATATACCATTTTATATAGAAAATATACTTTAACTACAATGAGATAGCCTTTCTTTAATGCCTCACAATTCACTTTTAAGTCTTGGATAAACACCATAAATTTTTACAAAAAATGATAGCTTTAAGTGATGTAATTGTTCCCATTTTTCAATGGGAAAGGGTAATAAGTCTAGGTACACAATAATTCATTCAAAAAATCCAATGAATATAGAGTGACATGAAATAGGGATGCATAGATAATTAAAATTTCTTTTTTTTTAAATAGACAAAATTGTCAGATTTAAACTTTTTAAGAATGAAAGAAAAAGAAATACAGAAGTGAAACTTTAAAAGCCATTTCATCAGGCTCCCTTATCATTTGATATCCATGAACATTATACATAGTTTAAAACTTTGGTACTAATCGTGATCTGAGAATCCCTGGAATTCAGCATCTGTTTCAGGGGTCCAAGAAGTCTAATTAATACTAAATATTATTTGCCATTTTCACATAAATGTATAGTGTATATCCAGAGACATGTATATTCAGACATATGATGTGTCATAAAAACATAGTTCTAATGGCTAATGAGTCAAATGTAATGGCTATTGGAAAGTATGACAGCGCATGCTTATTTTTTAAATCTTTCAGATATAGTTTCTAATATAGTAAATTTTGATAGATACAATCCACTTAAATAAAAGCTCTTTAGAGTGTAAAAATTGTTAATACTACAAAAGGATCCTAAGACCCAAAGTTTCAAAATTAGTTTTGAACTGTGTGTACCAAATAGTTATTAAAATGTGATTACTTTACCCATTATTAATAATCAAACATACAAAAACCCCAAAACATACCCAAACATGCTTGCACACAAACACAGTCTGTTAATCAGATCATCTGATTGGCTTAAGATCACCAGTATTAATAATACTTAAGAAAAAATAAAGTTAAATCACAATTGACGTGTTAGTAAGTAAAGCTTTACTCTAGGAAAACATCAGAATCCAATACATTTCTGGTTTTTTTTTTTTTTCCCTAGAAGAGGCAGGATCTTGCTATATTGACTGAAGTAAAAAACTCTTTTCAGAGACACACTGAGGAGCTGGAATTACAGCCATGAGTACTGTGCCCAGCTCTCAATAAGCATTTTTTAAACTTTGCAAAAATCTTATAATCTCATTTAACCTCTGTGAATTCTAACAAGTATAGGGATTCCAAATTGGGAACTTTAGGGTACAGCAATGTAAAAATAGAAACATCTGAATTAAAGCTTATACTAAATTTTTCATGCTTTTTTTCAAACATGAACCAATAATTACATTTGTATTATTAAATCTTTCCATCAAACAGAAAAAAATTTGGGAATAAGAAGACTCAACACTTCAAATAGTTTAATGTAGTTCTTTCCAGAGTAACTTATATTACAAAGTTTACCTGATTTGAATGTTTGTACATCCTTCATTCCTATTGCTTTGCTCAGAAGAGAATCTTTCATTTCACTGGTAGTCTGGATGAATTTTGAAACAAGATATTTAATAAATAATGTTTACTGCATACAGCATGTAGTTAATAATTTCAAGATAAAAAAATAAAAGATATTTACCTTTAATTGAGGATATTTCTCAGGAGATTCTAAATAGCAAACAGGACATATAATCAATTATATGTAAATATGACAAAACCAACCACACATTTTTATGCAGGGTTAGTATGGAGCTGAATCCCCATGCTTAGGTTTGGAAATAAGTTTTTTTCCCCAGTGTTTGGATAGCAATATGAAAAATGTATTGAAGAAAAAATAAGAATACAGGTTTAACAAAACATGCAGTTAAGGTTTCAAAAGTGAGATTATATTTCTAATGACCATAACTAAAGTAGAAGTCTGCTCATGAACCAATGTGAACATGCTGCCTGAGGGATAGAAAAATGATCTCTAATCAGAGGAGCAAAACATGACACTGACAGGATGTCAAAGCTGATGGCAGAATGTAACAGCATAGGCCTTTAATGTAACACATTAGAATCATTTGTACCATTATACTACAAGTATTTATCAAGTCCCTCAATTTGTTCTGTATTTAGGAAGTACAAAGTTGTAATAACAGTTCAGTAATGCATAAATTTATTTCTCAACAAAGAAAGTTTTCTGAAATTATCAGCTTGGATATATACTTGTAGAATAATAGTTAATAAAAATATTCATTTTTTTCCATACCCATGTTGGCTACTGGTATGCCTACATTTCTTGTTTTCTCTAGTTTAGCCATCTTAAGGTTTCTTGATCCACTCATGCAAGATGGTATATAAATCATATCTAAGAAATAAGGTATAACAAGTTTTAATATTGAAATATGATTATCAAAAAAGAAAAACTAAATTGTCACAGAATTATTTGATATTAATAACCTTTTATATTTCAAAATCAGTGCTATATTTACTAAGAAAAAAATTTTGGTATTCAAGGAATTAATTCTATTGTCTCTTGTGTCCAGAATTAATCTGGTTTGGTGTATCATGCTGATCTTTAAAGGAATTTATGAAACAACTATTTTATCCCAAAAATGGCTTTAAGAAAGGCAATGCTTCTATACTCAATTAATTTCATTTGAGTAAATAATATTAATGCAACATACATCTTTAATGCCAGATAGTTAAAGAATGGAGAAGTAAGCAGCTGTAGTTTACCCAATTCTCAAATTCCCTACTGTTTCCAATAATCTCTGAGACAACAATAATCTAATTTGTGGTTTGAGTGAAAATACACTGAAGTCACCAGAATTGAGTTTTCTCTAGTTTCTGCATTACCTCCAAAATGTTTGTTTCCTTTCTTATTTCCTCTAAACAGTTTCTCTTCTTTTCAAAAATACCTCTAAATTCTGGTCTAGATTTTCTCCATTATATATATATATTTAATGAGTTATTCCCACCACTTCTTTTCTTTTTATTTTGCAGTAGTATCTTAGAATTATATCTATTTCATCTTCCCTTTGATCCTTTCCCTCTGGGTAGAAAACATGCTGAGAAATAAAAACAAAATCTATACTTTCCCTTGACCCTGTAATCTCTTATATTATTATGAAATGGCTAGTCCTAGATTTCTCTAAAGTGAAGTCTATGTCCTTGCTGTTCAGAGTATTGTCTGAGGACCAGCAGCACTGGCATCACCTTAGACCTTATTAGAAACAAAAAATTACAGACCTGCTGAATCAGGAGTCATACTTTTAAAATGGTCCACAAAAAGTGATTCATGAAAGCTTGAGAAATTATGGTCTGAATTAATTCCCAATTCCTTTACCTTAATTTACCATTTTAGATTCCAGCCTCAAGTTCATCCCTATCATGTCCTCTAAAGTCATAAATTTTCTAAAGGTTTTATCAGACTATGGCTTTTCTGATCTTTCCAGAGCTAATCCTGCTCTTTTCTTCTTTACAATTCTCTTCATTTAAAAAAAAAAAATTATTGTTTTTTTTTGTACATGACAGTAAATAATATACATCCATGGATGAATATATATATATATTTATATTCATTTATGGTAAATAAAACATAGCTCTGTATGATGAGTACTTCAATCCTTAATGCCTTCCCAACAGTGAGGAAAATGTTGAGAGGAAAAATTTTGCTTTATTTCTCAGTCAAACTTTGGAACTGGAAGCTTACTTTATATTCATCACACATTTTGAATACTCTGCTCTTCATTTTTCCAAATTACTTTATTTTCCCACTCTTCACTATGTACACCTGCTTCTTTTCCCTTCATTTACTTCCCATACTCTCTGCCTTTCTTAATTCTTTCCCTAATCTCTTTTCCATTTCCTTATTACTAACTTTCCTTATGTCCTAAAGTATCTTGAAAACGAACTAATAATTCAGCTCCTTTGACACTCTAAATTTAACCTGCTGCTGAAACTTGATAAGATATCTATTTACTACCATTGCACTTTTTTTCCACTTACTATGCATTTAATGAGTAAATTTCTTTGGCTATTAGAACATGTCAGTACTCATGTTTCAAATAAACACTTTGCCAAATGACTTTTTAATAAAACACAGCTCTTACCTTCGACTTGTCCATTGATATTGTTTCCTCTTTCATGCACAGCCCCAGATAAATGACTAACACCCTTTTGTGGAAGCCTCTCAGAGATACTCTAGTGAAATTAATATTAAGAATGAGTTGCATAAAGATTTCCTAATCATTTTATAAGATAGTTAAATTTCCTATTATAAAAGCAATTACATTTTAATATGAGAGACATATACATGAAAAACCAAACATTTCAATAAAGAACTTCATATACTTTGTTTAGATCAATACTATCTCTTATCCTCATATGGATAATGAGTAGATAAACTAAGCTTGGAAGGCCAGAGGAACATATCAATAGATAAAATACTAACAAATGTGCATACTTCAAAAAGAAACTAACTCCAGAACACCTAACTCTACTTTGCATTCCTTACCAAATGTAAGAGAACATTTAAAAAATACATATTTAAAAAAAATTCTTATAAGTACACTTGCAATGATACAGCATGAAACACTGCAAACACTTCTAAGGACAAGAAATAATTTAGTGATACTTGGTATGATAAGAAACTTCAGAGTGTGGCATGTTGAATCTAAACAAAGCATTGTAGAAGCTGCTTCATTAATGTAAACATGGATTTAGAAAATCTAAATATTTTTTGTAAGGTTTGGTGATGCATGTCTGTAATTCCAACTATTAGGGAGGCTGAGGCAGGAGGATCACAAGCTGGTGGTCAGCCTGGGCAACTCAATGAAATCCTGCTTCACTAGGAAAAATAAGAAGGGCTGGGGAATGTAGTTAAGCAAAAGAGTATTTTCATAGCATGTATGAGCCCTAGGGTTCAAATCTCTGTTACCATAAACAAAAAACAAAACAAAAAACTAACAATAAGACATAATAAAAAGAAAAAAAATCAAATATTTTTTGGTAAATTTTTACTTATAGGAAAAAATGGTTGAATAAAATTGACAGAGTAGGAAAAAAACTTATCTTTATGCTATGTTTAATAGTACACAAATACTAGATACAGTATTTAATCCTTTCTCAATTTAACAATGAATTTTAAAAAGAGTATAGCAAGTCTTAATAAAAAGGGATGTATAAGAACATTTACTAAGTGTCTAAAATGTGCCTGGCACTTATTTGTACATTTTCTTTTCTATGTATTACAATAATAATAATGATTATGACAATGATTATCTTACTCCCTGCTTTCCCTGACTGAAAGTAAATGATGGACAGATGTGATTCACTGTTCTTTCAGCAATATTCCCCTCCTAGACATTCACATGGTTGGCTCCTTCCCATCCTTTATAAGCTTTAGAGCAATCTATACTTCAGAGAGATCTTAGTACAAAATTTCATTCCCATATCCATTCCGCCTACAAACTCCCTCAGTATTTTTTAAATAAGCATTCTCTATTTACTTTATATGAAATACATGATTTACAAGTATTTATTGTTTATGTTTTTTTGTTCTATCACTATAGCATAAGCCCTTATCTGGTGTATTCTGTATAGAACTGCCTTCCACATAGTAGACTGTTAATAGCAGAAAATTATTCAAGGTCAAAACATTTACAATCTCATCAGAAGGTCTCAAGCACCAAATCACTATATTACTATATAACATATCCAGTAACAGTTTATTGAAACTTACCATTTTAAAATTAGAAACATATATACCCCCTTCAACTTTTCCACTATTTTCTTGACACTTACTATTTTATTATCCTCATGTTTAAAAACAAGTCTCTATATTTAATAAGTCACTGAACACCACTGTGATCATTCTAACAAATAATCATTTTGTCTAATAAATATGAACACATTTCTTAGTTTACAAAGTATTTTCACATTTCTTAACCATATTTGTTCATTGAATATATCTAAGAGACATGGTACCATTTTTATGGTACTGTAAGGCTACTGACATCGTAATAGTTTAAATAAATTTTCCAAGATTTCAGAACTACTAAATGACAGAACCAGAATATTAACATTTTTTTTTTAACTTCAGCTACTATGCTGGTACCATTATTAAGCAGCTGCTTATACACAAGAAATCAGGTCTTTCCCATCTCTTTCTGCAGTGGTCACTTTAAAATAGTTTATCACTGTTTATACTTATGTTATGGCAAGCATGGCTGACATAAAGGTATTCAATAAATTTTATTTAAAAAATGGTTTGTATTTAACTAAAACATTAGAAAATCAAACTAACTATAGTCCTACACGTATAATTCTTCATGCTTTTCCTCCTCAGAGGCTGAAACATTCCTTGTAGATCTATTCTTAACAATCCATATATAATAATACTTTCACGTTCCACTTATCTAAGCTACAAAAAATTATAGTCCAAATTTTCTTTCTGAATCACATTAGAACCTTAACATATCCATATATAATACAGAGTCACATAGGTCATAGGTTGACTTGAAATAATTCATCAGTATTTAGATAAAGTTAATTTCAGAACCCAAGCTGATCCCCTGTGATTTCTAAGCTTTAGTTTTTGACACTACACTACATTGGCTTCATTAAATAAATCCTACAAGTTATCAGAATTTTAAAGTGCAGTGGTAATGTACTTATTAGAACTAATTACTTTATTAATTATAGGTTAAAATGTGAGGAAATTATTCCTTTTAGGCATATGCAGATGTGAGAAAGTAAAGTCAAAGCCCCCCCCCCCCACCCTTTTTAAGAAATGTGATAATGTTTATTTTCAATACATGGGTTAAACAATAAATTGGAATGAACTGATGAGAAGATTAGTGATATGGAAGACTAAGCAGAATAGGTGTAACCAAATATAATACAGAAAGAAAAAGTCAAAGAAAATACAATTATTGTTACATATTTGATAACTCAGAAGGAATAAAACACATAAAGTTTGATCATTAAAAAATGAGGGATGAATAATCATCAAAAAAGTAATGATTTATAAGTTTCTAAAATTGAAAACTAAACATGATACTTCTTATTCAGAAGTATAGTAGGCATTAAAGAGTTGAATAAGTAAAAATAAGAAAACAAAAGTAGTCAAACTAACAACAAGAGAAGGAAAAGGCTTAAAATCAGTAAGAAAGAAAACAGATAACCTACAAAGATGACAGCAGAATTCCCACATTATTAAGGATACACTATAATTTAGAGAAAAAAATACTAGGATTTCAGACAAATATAATATTCAAGCTAGAACTGAATAATTAGCTAAATCATTTTTAGTAAAACACTTGTAAAATATTTTCAAAAGTAAAAACCAAGAACTTTAATTTCCACAGAAGATTTTAAAGATTATACTTCAAAAAGAAAAAAAGTTATTCAATATGAAATCTGAGAGTCAAAATACAAAGTAAAAAAATTCTTAAAAAACCCATGGGAATATCAAAATATGGTGAACACTGATTTTAAAAGAATCCATAAAACTTTGGTAACACAGGTTTAACCACATTTAGATATATTAAAGTATGATTCCAAATATTTAAAGTAAATCAAATGGTAACTCCTGTGCTATCTGAGTAATCTGACTGATGACAGTATAATTTATTAAGACAACTATTTTAATCACTAATTCAAAAAGATGGCACTTCTGTCATATAATTTGTAAAGTACTGATTATCCTTTTAACAGAGTGGATGAGCCATCAAAGGATTGACAGTGGAATAAACATAAAGCATCCTATTTAATGTTTTAACATCACTCAATGCTTATTCCAAAAATAATAATAACAGACAATACCTCAGAATCCCATGGTGATTCTTCCTCTTCCTCTTCTCCTAATCCTAATGCAGACATCAGATCTATAAAATGTATAACAGATACAGTAAAAATACTTATTACTGAGAAATTGAAATATATGTACAAGTCTATCTCCATTCATAATATTTCAATAAAATAAAATGGAAGAGCAAAAAGGAATTTCAGAAGATTAATGCAGTTTCAAGAAGAAGTTGGTTGCAGGAGAATGACAGCAAAAATAAAATGTAAAAGAAATAGGTATCTTTTCTTGAATCTACACACTTTATTCTTTATAACGTTTTTTAAATCTAGAAAAATTTTCATAGATATTCACTAACTTACCACTTTTACTCTTTTTGTGTCCTGCATCAACATAAGTCAAATTCCCATTATTTGTTTGATCTTGCGAAGCACTTTTAGTACCATTTTCTTCTTTTCCAATTATTGGCTTTGTTGCCCCTTCCTGTTGAAAAAAGAGGAAAGAAAAATCAAGTTGAGAAAACATGTTAAACAACAAACATTTATTGTATCTATTAAATCCTAAGCACTATCATGGGATAAATTGAAAATAGAAAAGATTCCTTCTATTATCACGTAGAGACAGAGATATATAGAAATAATAAGAATAAAGTATAATTTATTAGCTCTACATTTGAAATGCATGCAGTTAAGCGCAAAAAGAACAGAATAGTCAGTTCTACCTAGAAAGCTCTGGGAATGCTGCAAATACAGGGTCTCATTTCAAAAGAAATACAAACTACAACGTGAGAGTGTGAAAGTTATTCTACACAGGACAGCAAAAGAATACAGCATGAAATCACACAACAAATGAAGAATAGTGAAGTAACGTGGTAAAACTGGAATACTAGGTTCTAGGAATGGCATTTAATAGATAAAACAGGAGGATCAGGGCCAAAGCACAAAAAATATGTGTCATGCTAGAATGTGAACTTTCCCCTTCATGTATGGGGATCTATTTAATAAGCAGATAAGTTTTAGCATTTAAAATGTCACTTGGGCAGCAAAGTATAGTTAAATGAACATTATGGCAGAAGGGAGAACAAGAGAAATACATTTCAAAATGACAAGTGAGAAGGTGAATCCCAGTAATATGATATAAAAAATGGTAAGCAGAATATACAGAAGTAGTCTGGTGGTTTGGGAGAGAGATTGAGTTCAAACTTTCTTAGCTTTAGTGTTTCAGTGCTGTTTACAATGTGATAATTACTACAATGGGGAAATGGATGACAGATTAATATAGAGTGAGCAAAGGGTTACATTAATGTCTAAAGATGAGAACATATAAAATTTAAGGCACTCAGGGGACTTAAATGCCATAATTGAATAAATACATTCAAAGTAGAAATATATGACCTCAATGAGGAAATGCATATGGACCAAAGAAATAAAATTTTGTAAAATATACTAAACTGTTATAATTAAATAAAGCAAACCTACATAGAACTCTGAAATTTTACAAATGAACAAAAGAGGTTGAAAAATGGGGGACCACATTTTCAAATATATATATCAACACTTATTTCAATGATATAAAAACATTCTCTTATTGATATATGCAAATACTTGTTTCTGGGATGTACTAATATGCATTTTTTAATCTAATGAAAATATTTAATTCTAAGATACTAATTCAAGATGCTGCAAGAAGACTCCCTTTTAACGAAAAATCCTAAGTCTGGCATGGTGGCACATGCCTATAATTCCAGTGACTTGGAAGGCTGAGGCAGAAAAATGAAAAGTTTGAGACCAGCCTCACCAACTAAGTGAGGCCCTAAGAAACCTAGTGAGATCCAGTTTCAAACTAAAAAAATTAAGGAGCATTCCAAGATGGCAGGCAAGAGGAAGGCAGCATTCTGTGTCACTCTTTGACCCAGTTCTCACCTAGTTGGAATATTGCATCTCGGAGAGTGTAAGAGGACCCCCATACAGCTGATTTCTGTAGAAGTCACCAGCATTGTGACCCCCACACAGAGCTCAGAGCCTCAGCATTTGAGTAGGACTCTGGAATACTAGGTTCCTAAACTCAAAGCCCACAGTTCTAGCCCATGCACGGCTCTCAAGCTGCTTAGCAGAATCACCTATCAGCACATCTGCAGAACTCCAGATTGTGATCCGCTCCCACGCAAGTCACTCAGCTACTACCTACCCACAGCACAATGTCATCTCCTGGTTCCCCCCATTTACCCAGATGCCCCGGTGATAGAAGCAGACTGCCTCTTCTTGAAACCTTTCTTGCCATTATTTGGTGGGGGCAGCTCTCAGATCATATCTCCATCTGGCCAGGTACCAGGTATCCAACTCCCCCCACCCTTGGTGGCAGTAACTTGGCACAGTGACCACCCAACACAGAAACAGCTCTCAGTTGGGCAGGTGTGGAGTGTGACCACTTGGTGTGAGCCTGGGTGTGGGAGATCCTGCAGTTGGGAACTTCTAAGTGAGAGGGAGATAATACTGGCTGCTCAAGTCAGACGAGAGGTCCCCAAAAAAGACCCGTGAAGTGCCATCTCCCTGCAGGAACTGGTGAGTGGCACTCCCCGCTTCCAGACGCCCTACATCAGGACCAGTCTTCCCATCCTGGTTATCTACACCATCCTGAGGGCAGAGACACCAGCTTAGAATAGACAACCCCACCTATTAGATGAGAAGAAAAACAGAAAAGATACAGATCTCTAAAACTAGCAACAACCCGTTTCTTCTTTCGAGTATTTTTTTTTCTTTCTCTTCTACCACTCTATTCTCCAGCCCTCACATCCCCAACATATGTGAAACCAAGAACTTTGCATGAAATACGACTTTGAGGACTGAGTTAGCTGAATAATATAATATAGAGGGGTTGTATATGTTCTTTTGTTTTCTTTCTTTTTTTCTTCTTTCATTTTTATTTCCTCCTCCAAATATTACTATTTTAACATCCTGTATTTTTCTAAATACATGTGTGTTTGTTTTATGTACTCTGTCTTCCCATGTACTTGTGTACCCTAAATTACTTCCTGTCTATTCTCTTGCTACTAACCCTCTTCACTAGATTTCTTTTTCACATTTCTTAAGATATATTAACTCTATATCCTCACATCCTTCCTCCTCAGCATATTGTGCTATGCCCCACCCCAGTGTCTACCGTCAGAAACTGTAAACCTTTTTATGAAACTACTGATTATATTTTAGATAATAATTGAATCCAACATGTCTCTACATTGAGAGTAAACATCTTAATAACAAAAAAATTGTTCTTAGATGATATATTGTTGATATTGGGATCTGTTAACATTGTCCTTCCCCACAAAGGAGGGATCTGGGAAACCTACAAGAGCATTACAAATGTATAGGGTAAAAAAAAAAAATAACACCCCAGACCCACAGAGCTGGAAAGGAAGACACAAAAGCAACATAAAAAGACAAGGGAACAAAGTACCACAAACAAATCAAGACACCACATCATTAGAATCATTGGCAGCCACAGCAGGAAAAAAATGACAGAGAAAGAGTTCAGGATATACATGGTTAAAATGTTCTGTGAACTCAAGGAATATATAAGAGAGCAAATACAAGCAGTGAAACATTACTGACTTCAACAAGGAACTGCATAAACAAAGTCAAGAAGAAAAGGATCACCTCAACAGGGAGATAGACATTCTAAAAACAACAACAACAACAACAACATTAAATTAAATTAAAAAAATAAAAACAAACAAAAAACCCAGAAATCCTTGAAATGAAAAAAACAATAAACCAAACTAAAAGCTCAAATGAAAGCATCACCAACAGAGTAGACCACTTGAAGACAGGACATGACACAATGAAGATAAAAATATATAATCTTGAAAAGAATATAGAACACACTACTATAAAGGTAAGAAACCATGAACAGAACATTCAAGAAACATGGGATAGCATAAAAAGACCAAATTTAAGAGTTATTGGGATAGAGGAAGGCATAGAGGTCTAAATCAAAGGAATGAACAATCTATTCAATGAAATAATATCAGAAAGCTTTCCAAACATGAAGAATGAATTGGAAATCAAAATTCAAGAAGCCTACAGGACGCTGAAAGTACAAAATCCCAAGAGATCCACACCAAGGCACATTATATAAAAATGCCCAACACACAGAATAAGGAGAGAATTTTAAAAGCCACGAGAGAAAGGAGTCAGATTACATACAGAGGAAAACCAATTAGGATAAGAGCAGATTTTTCAACACACACCCTGAAAGCTACAAGATCCTGGAACAATATATATCAAGCTCTGAAAGAAAATGAGTGCCAACCAAGAATCTTGTATCCAGCAAAATTAAGCTATAGATTTTAAGATGAAATAAAAACCTTCCATGAAATATGAAAGTTAAAAGAATTTATAGCTAGAAAACTGGCACTACAAAACATCCTTGGCAAAATATTCCATGAAGAGGAAAAACAAAACAACAATTAAAATCAGCAGAGGGAGGTAGTACCCTAAAGGAAAAACTAATTAAAGAAGAAAATTGAGTCAAGTTAAATAACAAAAATAAACAAATATGACTGGGAATACAAACCATGTCTCAATAATAACCCTGAATGTTAATGGGTTCAACTCACCAAACAAAAGACATAGGCTAGCAGACTGGATTTTTAAAAAGATCCAACAATATGCTGCCTCCAAGAGACTCATCCAACGGGAAAAGACATACAGACTGAAGGGGAAAGGTTGGTAAAAAGTTACCACTCACATGGACTGAGGAAGTAAGCAGGGGTTTCCATCCTCGTGTCAAATAAGTAGAGTTCAAGCAAAAGTTAACCAAAAGAGATAAAGATGGACATTACATACTGCTGATACCAATACTCTCCAATTTATTTCAGGAAATAGAAAAAGAGGCAGCAGGTCCAAACTCATTCTATGAGGCCAATATCACCCTGATTCCAAAACAAAGCAAAGACACATCAAAGAAAGAAAACTTCAGACCAATATCTCTAATGAACATAGATGCAAAAATTCTCAATAAAATTCTGGCAAATCAAATACAAAAACATATCAAAAAGATAGTACATCACAATCAAGTGGGGTTCATTTCAAGAATGTAAGGTTGGTTCAACATACAGAAATCAATAAATGTAATTCATTACATCAATAGACTCAAAGATAAGAATCATATTATCATCTCAATAGATGCAGAAAAAGCATTTGACAAAATACAGCACCTCTTTATGTTCAAAACACTAGAAAAACTAGGATTAACAGGAACATATCTCAACATTGTAAAGGCTATCTATGCTAAGCCTCAGGCCAACATTATTCTAAATGGAGAAAAATTGAAGGCATTCTCTCTAAAAACTGGAACAAGACAGAGATGCCCTCTTTCACCACTTCTATTTGACATAGTTCTTGAAACACTGGCCAGAGCAATTAGACAAAATAAATTAAAGAGATACATATAGGAAAAGAAGAACTTAAATTAGCACTATTTGCTGATGATATGATTCTATACCTAGAAGACCCTAAAAATTCCACCAGAAAACTTCTAGACTTAGTAAATGAATTCAGCAAAGTAGCAGGATATAAAATCAACACCCATAAATCAAAGGCATTTCTGTTCATCAGTGACAAATCCACAGAAAGGGAAATGAGGAAAATCACCCCATTTACAATAACCTCAAAAAAAAAAAAATTGGGAATCACCGTAACGAAAGAGGTGAAAGATCTATACAATAAAAACGACAGAACCCTATAGAAAGAAATCAAAGAAGACTATAGAAGATGGAAAGATCTACCTTGCTCTTGAATAGGTAGAATTAATATTGTCAAAATGACCATACTACCAAAAGCACTATCCAGATTTAATGAAATTCCAATCAAAATCCCAGTGGCATTCCTCATAGAAATAGAAAAAGCAATCATGAAATTCATCTGGAATAATAAGAGACCCAGAATAGCTAAAGAAACCCTTAGCAGGAAGAATGAAGCAGGTGGCATCACTATACCAGACCTTGAACTGTACTACAGAGCAATAGTGACAAAAATAGCATGGTATTGGCACCAAAACTGACTGGTAGACCAATGGTACAGAATAGAGGACCCAGAGACTAACCCACAGAATTAGAATCATCTTACATTAGACAAAGGTGCCAAAAGGGTGCATTGGAGAAAAGATAGCCTCTTCAACAAGTGGTGCTGGGAAAACTGCAAACCCATATGCAACAAAATGAAATTAAATTCCTATCTCTCACCATGCACAAAACTCACTCAAAGTGGATCAAGAACCTAGGAAATAAACCAGAGACTTTGCGTGTAATAGAAAAAAAAGTAGGCACTAATCTTCATCATCTGGGATTAAGCCCCAACTTCCTTAATAAGACTCCTACAAAGTTAAAACCAAGAATCAATAAATACGATAGATTCAAACTAAAAAGTTTCTTCTCAGCAAAAGAAACAATCTGTGAGGTGAATAGAGAGCCTACATTCTGTGAGCAAATTTGTACTCCTCATACATCAGATAGAGCACTAATCTCTAGGGTATATAAAGAACTCAAAAAGCTAAGCACCAGAAAAACAAATAACCCAATCAACAAATGGCCCAAGGACATGAATAGACATTTCTCAGAAGAGGATATACAATCAATCAACAAATATATGAAAAAATGTTTATCATCTCTAGCAATAAGAGAAATGCAAATCAAAACTACTCTGTGATATCATCTCACTCCAGTCAGAATGTAAGCCATTATGAAGAGAAACAACAATAAGTATTGGTGAGGATGTGGGGAAATAGGTACGCTCATATATTGCTGGTGGGACTGCAAATTGGTGCAACCAATATGAAAAGCAGTAGGAGATTCCTTGGAAATCTGGGAATGGAACCACATTTCACATGGCTATCACTCTCCTAGGTCTATACCCCAGGACTTAAAAACAGCATATTAAAGTGACACAGCCACATCAATGTTTATAGCAGCACAATTCACAAAAGCTAAACTGTGGAGCCAACCTAGATGCCTTTCAGTTGATGAATGGATAAAAAAAAAAAAGTGGTACATATACAGAATGGAATTTTACTCAGCAATAAAAGATAATAAAATCATGGCATTTGCACAGAAATGGATGGCATTGGAGAAGATAATGCTAGGTGAAGTTAGCCAATCCCCTCAAAAAAAAAAAAAAAAGAAAAAAAGCCAAATGTTTTCTCTAATATAAAGAGGCTGATTCAAAGTGGGGTAGGAAGGGGGTCCATGGGAGGAATAGATGAACTCTAGATAGGGCAGAGGGGTGAGAGGGAAAGGGAGGGGGCAAGGGGTTAGCAAGGGTGGTGGAATGTAATAGACATCATTATCCAAAGTACATGTATGAAGACATGAATTGGTGTCAACATTTTATATACAACCAGAGATATGAAAAATTGTGCTATATATGTGTAAAAAGAATTGTAATGTATTCTGCTGTCATTTAATTTTTAAAAAAATTAAAAAAAAACTGTGGAAGAAATGCTAACTACAATAAAAGTTTTTGTTAAAAAAATAAGAAAAAATTAAAAGGGCTGGAGATATGGCTCAGTGGTAGAGTATCCCTGGGTTCAATTCCCAGTATCAAAATAAATAAGTAAATAATCCTAAAAGTTTTAACTTATAAACTTAGACATGGTGGGTCACATCTGAAGTCCAAGATACATGGAAGGCTGCGGTGGGAGAATTACTTGATCCCAGGAAATTGAGGCTAGCCTAGGTATACAGCATGACCCTCATCTTAAAAACAAAAGAGAAATGATTATGTGATTATAGATCAGGTATTTTAAAGTACCAGTATGATGTAAGGAAAAAGTATAAAACCCAGTTTTAAAATTCACATGGTTTCCCTATAAACAGTATACTAATAGTTCTAATTTTCTATTTATACTATGTGGATTGGGGGTTAAAAATTGGAGAAAGTATAGACTATTAAAAACTTTTCCAAGGTGAAGATTTCTAAGTCTTTAAATACTTTTCAAATACTGCTCAAATATTTGTTAATCAGGATCCAATATTCATATGAAGAAGAAAACAATTTAAAAATATCTAATCATTAGAATTATTAGGCTTTAAAGATAAAAGAATTTACACATAAGGTTTAACAACTATGAATATTTGGGCTGGGATGCAGCTGAGTAGTAGAGCACTTGTCTAGCATGTGCTCAGATCTGGGTCCAATCTCCAGCAATACAAAGAAGAACCTAATTAATATAATCAGAAATTTAAATCAATGAAAACATTAAATAAAATGCTTACTTATTTGTTCTTTATTCTCTGTTGGTTTCTGGGGATCTAAACCAAGGCCTTGCACATGCTAGGCAAGTACTGTGTTACTAAAATACATACCCAACCCTATTAATTCTTTATTCTCAAAAAAGATCTAAAACATGGGCCTGAGAATGTAGCTCACTGGTAAAGCACTTGTCTAGCATGTACAAAGTGAAAAAAAAAAATCCAAACAGTTATCAAAATTATATACCCAAACAGAAAGATAAATTAGATAAATAATACTAAGTTAGAAACTATAAGAACAAAAAAGTAAAAAATTAGTAATTCATAATAAATCTCAAGAGGCATAAAACAGATTTCAGTTTGCATTATATATGAACACAGGTTTTGCTGAATTAAATATAAGATATCACTTTGCTAAATTTAAAAGCAAGAATTAAATTTTCTTTCAGTTTCTCATTAAAATCAACAATAAATCACTCAGAAAAATCTAATTTTTATCATATTTTACAACAGTTTCTGGTCTCATTTAATACATGTGTTTATAATGTCTTTCCTCTTAACTCTCTTATTTAATCTTGATAGTTATCTTGCCTTTCTTAAGTGAATTCTTCCCATAAGTTCCCCTTCTCAGTTTCATATTCTCTTGGGTTGCTTTCTAATTTTTTCCTTCCATTATGGCATATCTAAGAATTCCTGTACATATATCTCAACTTTGGTATATTTGTTTTCTTTCTTTCTTTTTTTTAAAAAATATTTATTTTTTAATTTTAGGTGGACACAATATCTTTATTTTTTATTTTTGTATGTGGTGTTGAGAATCAAATCCAGCGCCCCGCGTATGCCAGGCGAGCGCACTACTGCTTGAGCCACATCCCCATCCCTGCTATATTTGTTTTCTGTTATGATCTTATTGCCTTATATTTCTTTTAGGATCTTTGTCATCATTATGTAGATTAGGGAGATGATATAAATAAAACATGAAAAAAGAGCTTTAAAAATACCTACATTTGGGTCAGATGACAAAATGGAAGGACCTGAAAAACTCTGTTTAACCGATGTTTTAGGAAGGGTTTCATCCATGTCTTCATTTTGACTATCAGAATCACTGCTATCAAACAAGGTTCTATTTTCTGGTTTCAAAATATCATATTTTGCTCCTATAAAAATAAAAACCAATTAAAGAGTAAATATCTGTAATTTCAAATTAGTGAATAGCAGAAGAATAGGAGTCAATCTTCAAATAACTTACGATTTTTCTTGAATTGTTGAGTAGTAGTCCATAGCTCTGTTAAGTTCACTTTTGGGAAATTCTAGGGGGAAAAAAAAAACTTGAAAAATAACAAGTATCAAATTTGATAGAAAATTCAAATATTCACCAGTACAATACAATCTAACACAAAGTACACAGGTTTAGGAATCATTCACATGTAGATTCAAACTCCAATTCTGCCATTTATTAAATTACATTTTATCATAGGTTGAAGATTATGAGATTATAGAGACATCCCACAAATATTACTCCTTACCTCTAACTATTATAGAAATACTATGATATCCATTACATAATTTTCTTTTAAAAATTTTTTTATTTGTTCTTTTAAAATATACATGAAAGTACTGTGTATTTTAACATATTAAACATACATGGAGTATAACATTCCAATTAGGATTCCAGTCTTGTAGTTGTAGATGATGTGGAGATTGTCTGTGGTATAATCATATATGTACATAAGAAAGTTATATCCAATTCATTTTACTGTCGTTCCTATTCCTAACCCCATCTCTTCCCTTTATTCCCCTTTAGACAATTTTCTTAATCAACATATTCTAGAAAAAAATGATCCCTCTATAGTTTACTTTAAAAAAAAAACTAACATTTTAGCAAATTTTAAATTGTTATATTTTGAATGTGTTTGCATAATTTACATTTGCATGAATTACTTCAAGGGGAAAACATGAGTTTAGTTTTTAATAGTATTTTATTTATATAAGTTGGCATTGCAAGCAGTATAAATAATCATTTTAAAACTCCCACTTCTCTATGAACTACAAGAGGTTAGGAACACATATGTGTGTTTGTAATTTGGAGCACTTAAAATAAGGTGTCAAATGAAAAAAAAAATGATTATATGATAATTTTAGCTCTTTCCATGAAGGAGATGAAGAATAAATCTTGTGGGGCAGTGACTGATGAACAAAAGTCACATTCAACTATGAAACAGAAAGGTGTAACAAGCCAGGCTCAGAGGCACACACCTCCCAGTGGCTTGGGAGGCCGAGGCAGAAGGATCAAGAGTTCAAAGCCAGCCTCAGCAAAGTTGAGGCACTAAGCAAATCAGTGAGACCCTGTATCTAAATAAAATACAAAATAGGTCTGGGGATGTGGCTCAGTGGTCAAATGCTCCTTGAGTTCAATCCCCAGTACCGTCTTCCCCTAAAAAGAAAGATGTAACCAAATATGACAATAATGGAGACGAATGTATTGAAAGAATTAACACTGAAGAAATTTTTCTGTAAGAAAAAGGTAAGGGAGGAGGAACAAACAAAACAAAACAAAAATTTAATACAAAAAAAAAAGAGGATACATTTTCTCAATAGACCTAACCTGAAGTTAAATATATGAAACATTTAAAGGATATACAAATTTAAGTCACATTTTTAGAAACCTAATATCATTAGATATATCATACATACAAATACATTATACAAGTAATACTCCATTAATAGAAATATATTTGTTCATTTATTCACATTCAAAAATATTAAAAATCCTTCTTATGTGTAAGTAATTTTTTTTTTGGGGGGGGACTAGGGATCAAACCCAGGGGTGCTAAGTTGCTTAGGGCATCACTGGCTGGTTTTGAACTGGCAATCCTCCAGCCTCCACCTTCCAAGCCACTAGGATAACATGTGTGTACCACCATGCCTGATGAAATAAGATCTTTTCTTTTTTTAAAATATTTATTTTTTAGTTGCAGTTGGACACAATACCTTTATTTTATTTATGTGGCGCTGAGGATCGAACCCAGGTCCTTGAATGCACTAGGCAAGTGCTCTACTGCTAAGCCACAACTTCAGCCCCAAGATCTTTATAATAGTGGGTTTCTATGCTTATAATCCTTGACCAAATTTCATATTTGCTCTATTTTGGGCAAACTTTTCCTAATATGATTTTCTGGTCATGATGTATTTTCCAGCCCACCCCACCTCCTTTTTTTTTTTTTTTTTTACATTTACACTTCTTCAAAGTATATACCAGTCTTTTGGCATTTACAAAAGTAAAAACATTTAAAAAAATCAGAAGTCAAAATTCTAAAAACTGGTTTTCTCTGATTAATTTTCTATATATAGCGAGAGTTGGACTATTACTAAATTTTAAGAACAATACACAAAAGAAAATTCAGAGCAAGAAAATTAATTTCACAAAATCACCTTTACCTTGGTATCAAAATTAGAGTCTTCCTCATCTGATGTAGGCCAGGGATCACCAGGACCAGGTTTGTTAGAAAGCCTTTATAGCAAAAATATACAATAAAAATGGGTGAGTTTGGGTTGGGGTTGTGGCTCAGTGGTAGAGCGCTTGCCTAACACATGTGAAACCCTGAGTTCAATCCTTAGCACCACATAAAAATAAATAAAATAAACCTTAAAAAGAAAAAGGTTCTTCATTCTATAAAGGTGCAGATTCCTGAAACAAGGATGGGTTCAAATAGGTAAGAGGTAGAGCTCTCTTTCCCTCTTCCTGGAAAACAAGCTAAACAGAGTCTCAATAACCTCAGCACAAGCATTTTATAAACTATACAAACTGGGGCTATCTGATAGCTTTGCAAGCCAGTTGTAACCCTACATATATCCAAGAAAGATATTAGCAAGTTGGGAGAAGAGATGGAGGTGAGGGGATACCTGCCTAGGCCCTACAACCCAGTAGTTCAACAACTTCTAGTCCTCTGGTGCTTGAGGGACCCTAAGGAAACCTCTGTAAATTGAGGTCGAAACATTCCTGTCTGCTATAGACATTTATAGATGCTTAAATTATTTTATCAGAAGTTTTATTAGTTATTCCAACTGAACAGAAAAAGCCAACAACTTGTTCAGGACTCCCTTAAACTTCCTATTTTAATATTCCTTTCTAGATAACTCTCAATATCTGTGACCTTAATTCCTTTATCATCTTTGTCAAGGTTCTCATAAATTTCAATAATCTGGTCTCTTTTCTAAAACCCTTACCTCTAACCAACCCAGTACTGTTCCTCTTCAAATGTGCTCTTCTGTTATTTTCATTCTTATTCTCTACTATTGCATTCACTTGCTAATTCCATTCTTATCCTCTGCATTTGGGTTGACTAGACTCACTTCCCCACTCTATTATTAAAACACTAGCTATGTAGTGTCACATGCCTATAATGCTAGCAACTCAGGAGGCTGACAGGAGAATCACAAGTTCCAGCCCAGCCTCAGGAACTTAGTGAGGCCCTGTCTCAAAATAAAAAATAAAAGGGGCTAGGGATGTGGCTCAGTGGCTAAGTGCCCCTGGGTCTTACCAACAAAACAAAACAAAACAAAACAAAACATTTACTTACAGAATGATAATAAAGCTGAGAACTAAGGAACATGAGTTCAGATTTCATTTCTGCCACTTTATAGATATCCAGAAAAGTCACTTCAATATCCTTAATCTCTGAGTTTTCATCTGGCCAGGAAGTTAAACACATTTTGAAATACCAGAGGGTATTTTTATTAATTGCTAGTGTTCCTTAACCTCCTGAAATTCTATGTGCTTTGATTATTAAGGAATATTTAGTTGCCAGAAATGTAAAAAAGAAAAGAAACACCAAAAAAAGTAAAAGAGAAAAAAAAAAGTCAAGAGTATAGTCATGGAAGCAAAAAGACTAGGAAAAAAAATGCTTATTAGTACTAGTTAAGAGTAGTAGCCTGAAGGAAAAAACAGAGAAATCACGAAGCAGAGATATCAATTAAACATATCCTATAAATAGATGCCACAGATAATTAATATAATGTGGTCTACATGTAGATATTCTTCATTACAGTAAAATAATTCTTGTCTAGGACTTACCTAATCTTGCTTATGTAAAACTCATGGTCTTTTGGCCAAAACTAAGTAAAATCTGCCCTAAAAGCTTGGATGATAAAAATAAGGTACTGGTTGCCACTGCAACTATGGGCCCTATATCCATGGTGTCTAGCTCAGCTAGAACACTCAACAAACCTTGGTTTCTTTTCTCTGCATTCCCTAATTAGTTAAAATACAATTTAAAAAACTTCTGAAATCCTACCTGGTTAAAGACTCATCTTCAGAACTCTCATCCACTATTAAAGAAAAAGGTAAAATAACATTCAATCAACAATACAATAAAATATTAAAAGTTTAAGACTCTGATGCTTTGTTAGAAAATATTTCTTTAGGACCATTCCTGCAGACTATTCTATAATGAATATTAAATATACTAGTGATAAGCAATTAATGCATTAAGAATTCTTATGTCCCTTCTTTTTACTTATCAAATATAAGGAAGAAGGATGCAATTTATCAAAATTTGACCCGTAAAAGGAAACTGCTGTGTACAATAATCTTAACTGAAAAAGATATCATTAGTAGATTCAGTAGCATAAGCTGACAGTGTCAAAAAGCATAATTTTCTGGACTAATGAAACTAAGCAGAATTAGAAGCCAATTGTACCCCTGTCTCATGGATACTGAAGGAAAGAGATTGTTGGGAAACAATAATCTGATTTTATTTTGACATAATTATTTTGTTTTGACATACTTCCCCAGATGTTCAGTCAAAACTGTTTCATTTAGGATGTAACTCCTTATGACAAGGAAGACAGATCTATGGGCATGGTATTATGCAGCATGGCAAAACAAATGAAGGAGATAAGGGACAAGGATTTGAGCAAACAAGGCTCAAATTTCATCTGCTATTTTACCTCGCATATAAAGAAGCACTGGAAAAATCACATCCTTAAGAGTTTGTCTATTCTAAACTGTAACTTATAATTAGAGAAGCTTAGAAAGAAGCACTGGGGTGGTAGCACAAATTTCCAGGAAGTACTATCTGATATATATTTATATAATTATAAATATAAATATATACCATTTACTTATAAAAGCTTTCAAAATGTGCCAACAATTAGCTTTCCCTAGTAGGGAATTTTTTTTTTTCGTTTCATGTAATATATGTGGGGAGGACCCCAAATAGTGTGACTCTTGGCATTTCCCATGACAAAGAATCTACTCAGAGAATCTTAGGGCTGGGCATGGAGGTCAGTGGTACCCCATTTTTTAAAAAAAGAAAAAAACAAAAACAACAAAAAAGGAGCTGAAAGTGTATGTCTCAGTATTAGAGTACTTGCATAGGCCCTGAGTTCTATCCCCAGCACAACAACAAAACAAAATTAAGAATAATAACAAAAATAATAAAAAAGAAAGTCAGCCATGTTCTAATAATACAGACTATTTTTATACTCATTCCTCAAAGTGAGATCACTTAGATCTATCTATATAGTATTCATTCTCTAGTCTTATTTCAATGACAAGATAGGTATGGGACTCAAAATTGTTTTATAAAGTACAATCTCTTGAGATTACCTTTCTCTATTGCTAAAGAGTTTATCTGGATCCAAAAGAGCAGAATGGTACAGTTAGTGGTTAGTGTTGTGTAGCTGAGTATCATGTCATTTTTTTCAACCCTCCCCATATGTGTCAAATATATAGAAATCATCCTCTTTCAAGTAAAGCATGTTGTCAGATTATATGCTAATGAACAAAAAAAGAAAACAAGAACTAGACTGGAGGTCTAGCTCAGTGGTAGAGCACTTGCCTAGAATGCATGATGCTGACGCTCTGGGTTCGATCTCTAGCACTGTAGGGAGAAAAAAAAGTTATTAATAAAAAAAAATCATATTGCAAGTTATAGTCAGCTTAAATTGTAGATAAAGGTCAAAGTAATAGAATATGGGTATTATCGCCTAAAGTAAGAATTTGGAAATACATAAAACAAATAATTTAAATTGCATACTTAGGAATGAACAAATATTTTATTCTGCTTTAGTGACACAAATAACTGTGAAGTAATATTCATTTATACAATGCAATCCATTTATTGTAAAAATTAAATAGAAAATCTATTTTTATAACAATCCAATTTCCTATAATGTGACTACAAAGGAAACATACAATATATTAATTTAAAAATCTTATTTATACGAAGATCTACAAGATTTCAGATGCTAAAATAAGTGAAAACTTTTTCAGATAATATTGTTTTAGATGGCAAATTTCTGAAAATTAATTCATTAAATAATTCTCAATTCTACACTATTAGAAAGAAATTAAGAAAACATAAATGCAACTCACACACTAATTTTTAAAACTGCTTTCTTGTGATCAAAAGTTTCTTTTATTTTTTTCTAGAGTAGGTTTACCAAGAATAATTCACTATCAGAAGACTTACCTGAATTGTTAATTTGAGAATGTTTAAGTCTCTTTTCGTCATATTCAAAAATTACTTGCCTATGGTCATAAATGAAAAAAATAATAAATAAAATTATTTTAATACTGATATGAAAACATTTACCACATATATCAAATTCTTAATTTTGAGACAACATCAGAACTTTCTCCCATATACCTCAAATTTGTGAGCTCTATAAACTTTTTATTAAGCTTATAATTAAAAAAAAAGTAGAGTGAAAAAAAAAGACCATGAATCAGGGGAATACAGCACATTAACTAGATTAGCTAGACACAGTGGAAAGAAGTCCTGTCTCTTTTATCAACAGCTATTGGTCTTGGACAAATATTTTCTCTTAGACTCAAAGTCTTCTTTTATAAAAAGGAGTTCACTAGACTATTATGAAAATTTAATTAGGTAATACAAAAACATGCTCTGAGAAATAGTAAAGTAATGGAATTATTTGTTTTTTCATGCAGAACTATTTTGGAATCCCAAATAAAAGCTAATGTTCCCCCCCACACACAGATTCTAATATTCAAATGTTGCAGTTATTGGAAAATATTATTAAGTCTTAATTTTTGTTATTAGCTTCATTCTCTCCATTGTGGCTTATAATTCAAATTGTTCCTTATTATTAAGTTAATCAATCATAGCAAAGGCAGAAACTAAAAAAATGTCAAGACCAGACTTGGGCTACTGCGATTTCTCTTCCTAATCAAACTCTAAATCACCAGATCTTTGTTGGAATGATGCTTATCTCCATGTTTATCTCCAGTTGATTTGGAAGATACATGGATACCGATAATCATGGGTTTTAGTTCTTTTTAATCCAACTAATTCACATTAGATTTAAGAATTAGATTGGATAGAGAGAAATGATGGGAGGGGAGGGGAGGAGTAGGGGGGATAGGAAGGGCAGCAGAATAGAATAGACATTATGATTGCTGTATGTATATAAGTGACTCTATGACCAGTGTGATTCTGCAATCTGTACAATTAGAAAAATGAGAAATTATACCCCAATGATTTAAATGTATGAATTGCCAAGATCATTGTAATGTCATGTGTAGCTAATAAAAATAAAATAAAATAAAAAAATAAAGGCCAGAGGAAGGTCCACGGCACAGGGAAAAAAAAAAAAAAAAGAATTCTGCTTAATGGCCTCCTTTTGAAGTTGAATTTGAAAATATTCTGAAAACTTGTAGTGTAGACTGAAGTAGCTTGAGGGATTTTCATTACTGTGGAAAACAGATTATTTGAGAAGCTAATCAAAACCAGCATCCACCCTGGGGAAGGTGATATGAGACCGTCCAAGCCTAAAGAAAAGGTGCTACACAGGATACAAAGGGGCCTTTGGGAACAGATTTGGTAGCAAAGTAGAAAGAAAATTCTGATGTCATACAGCAACATTATTTGAATTTGTTTTAGTTTAGACTGATCCCAACAAATATTTGCTGGCAAAAAAACACAAAAGGAAGACCTCAAACTACCATATAGGTCTAGGTTAACATGTGGGCTCCACACAAGGTTTTGAAAAGGGGAAAGGGTCAGTTTGCTTACTATGTGCATAGTTAAAGCTAGAATACCCAATTGTCAAACCTGAGTTGCTGCTACTTTGGGAACAATGGCTGAGCATATGTATAGGTGAACTAAAAAAAGTTGTGATATTTAATTCTAAGTGCATATTATCATCAATAATCTTCAAATAGAGCAATCTAAAGTAAATACTCATTCAAAATACAAAATGATTTTCAACCCCTTTTTTATGATATTAGCATTTTAAAGGCAAACTATATAAGCAGAAGTTAAAAAAATACTACAAAAAAGATTAAGAAGTTCAATATTGAATCAAAAAATAAACTATAAGTCCATATATTTTAAACTAATATGAAACCCATTTTTAATTTTTTTTACTTTTGTTATTGGTGCATATTTGTAATACTCCATTCTTGATTTTTTTTTTGATGTTTTTTGAGTTCATTATATTGTCCGGCTATTAATCCTCTCAGAAGGGTAGCCAGCAAATTTTTTTTTCCCATCCTGTAGTCTGTCTCTTTATTCTGTTGTTTTCCTTTGCTATGCAGAAGCTTTTAAATACTACTCCATTTATTGTTTCTTGTTATTAATTCCTCAGCTACAGGAGTTCTAGTGAAAACTCTTTGGCTAACATAAGATCACATAATCAACAAAATCAGAAAACAAATATAGTCATAAGGGAATATGAATATAGTCATATAAAGGAATATGAATCTTAACATATATTTTTCTTTGTGTTGTCCAATCTGAATTATTGCTTTTCTGCCTGATGGTTTGTTGACATTTTCATAATATCCTAAAAATTATGTTAATCATCCCAATAATTTAAAATTTTTGACTTGAGTGACTGTTACCACTCTAAAACACCACTAAGTTTTTAAAAATAACACAGAAAACAACTACTATACCTTTCTAGCTCATCAACTGCATGTATATTTGCTTTTTTATTTACTAAAACTTCTGCCATCTGTTGTTTGTTTTCTCTTAGAGCAAGTAAAAGTGGTGTGTGGCCATCCTGTAAAACAATTTATAATTCACAAAAATTACATATTTTTCAACTGAACTAAAAACCTTATAAAAGACCCCATGGGAACATAAATGCATCACAGAGTAAAAGCCAAACAAACAAAGAAACAAACAAACAAAAAACAACAACAAAAAACCCTTCCTTCTTACCCTGTTGAGCTTTCATGTTTTTTTGCCTTTTAAATGCTCTCCTCTGTCTAGTGCTGGCACATGAACTCCAGTCATTTCTAAAACTTACTGCAAATATTTAATGATTCCAAGAACTTCTGCTTCTATAACTGCATTTATAATGTTATTTTCAAACTATGTGATGCTCCCCATGTTAGCCAAAAACTTCTTGAGGGTAGGGGCTCTATCTTTAATCTCAATAGCCCCAAACACTGAAAAGATAATTGAATAGGTTTTAAGTATTTTTATTGAATTAATGAGCTTAATTTTCATTTCTAGAGCAGGGTTTCTCGATGTATATTCCAAGGAATATGTACTTTTCCAGAAGTACTTTACTGTAACAGAAAGACTCCATAATCATTTGTTTGAGAAATATCACAAACTGTGCATGTTATGTCCAGTATTAAACAAAACTCTCCAACTTTGCTTAATCTCTTAGTTTTTTGTGGACACAACATCTTTATTTTATTTTTATGTGGTGCTGAGGATCAAACCCAGTGCCCCCCCCCCCCCCCCCCCCAGCCTACCACTTGAGCCACATCCTGGACAATACTTTATTGATGGTAAACATTAACCAGAGTTCAGGGCTGAAGTTTTGAGGGCTTTTCAGTAATGTGATTCCTTTAAGAATGCTAATGGTTCCCATGGAGGAAACTGTCATGATTTTCTTCTATTTATTGTCTCAGGGTTCCAGTCCCACTGTCAAGGTAATTGTACTCTAAATGGGTCACTATGGAAATGAGCTCTGAATTAAATGAAACAGGTTTCAAAATGAACTTTGATTGCTTATTACCAGTTGGTCCATGGGTTTTCTCATATTATAAGATGGGAGATATTTACCTTAGTTGTTAGAGAACTCAATATAAAATTTTATTCTCGCTTATTATAATGCTAATAATCCTTGGACCCTAATACTTATCCTTTTTTTTAATTCTTTTTTTTTGCTGTATTTTCATTTTAATTGTGAAAGTTGCTTATAATTTTAGACAGAATTTTGGAATAAAAATACAATGGTTTATCACCACAAAAATTAATACTGGTCTATATTAAGGATTTTTAGTGTAACAAAAGCGTTAACAAAAGCCACTGAGCTGCTTGCATTTTTAAGGAACATGCTGAAAAGAAAAATATTTTATTTTCAACATGCATTACTTATTCAACTATACCTCTGACTAATCTAATAAGGCCGACAGACATTCTAATGAAAATACGATCATTTACAGTTAAAGAAAAAGGTATTAAAATACAAATGTCTAAATTCTAAAACTCAATACCATTTCTATAAGATTAATACAAACTACAGACCATATTCTTATAAATTACCTTGAAAACCCTGACATCTTTATCAAAGTATATTATAAAACAGAAATTATAAACTCAAATACTTACAGAGGCAAAGCAGGTGACATGAGGGAATTCTGAGATGGGTTAGTAGCAAATTGGAGACTGAATACTTCAAATAAAGGGGACAAATTCTTTACAGCAGACCACTTGTAATCCGGGATTGAAGGACAGAATTTATTCTTTAAAAGAAGCTCAAAATTCATATTTCTACATGAGTCTCCTAAATTTTAAATGTTGACTGAATTTATGGAGGTTATGGATCACGTTTAGTCTATAGCCTTTTTGTTTTTATCTTTGTTGTAGGTTTTTCCAAATGGTTTTGTACAAATTAAATATTTGCATGTTAAACCTTACCTTTTTTTTTTTTTAAGATGGACTCAATATTTTTATTTATTTTATGTGGTGCTGATGATGGAACCCAATGCCTCCCGTGTGTGAGGCAGGTGCTCTACTGCTGAGCTATAAGCCTAGCCCCAACCTTTCCTTTTTTTAATATCATATTTTATCAAAAAAAATCAGGCCCTAAAATATGAAAAGACTCATAATGCCCACTTCAAGATCTTTTCAATACTTACTAATTTATACTCCATTGGTAGTCAATTCTCCTAGGCTGTTGATGAATAATTAGTTTCATAGGACCTTTGAAACTAAATTATTAAAATACCCATGTATATACTTAGTTTCAAGAAAAACCCTGGGTGTTATCAATATTTGTTGACCTAATGACCTGAATTATAACAAAGAGACATGAAATCCTTAAAATACCGACTGCTGTTTATTGAAGACTACCCATGAGAAAATCTCTAAAAATGTTCTGAATGGCAGTGGATGACTACTGATGGTTGGAAGGAAAAAGGTGTTATTCTATAAGTCAACGGATATTTCCAATATTCCTTTTAACTTTCTTACAATGGAAGTAGAAAAGACAGATGAATTTGGACAAATAATATTGGAAAGCAGAGATTTGAAGGATGCAGAGGCTAACCAAAGTCCAACACTTTTAGAAAATTTCTTAAGATCTGGGAATTCACTAATTACACTCGTTAATTCAGTAGTTCTTTTTTAGGAGTTCTATCAGAATCTTGAGGAAATATTTTTAAATATCTATGTCTAGGACTTATTAGATTTTCTGAATCAAATTTTCAGAGGAGAGCCTAGACTTGTAAATTTTCAAATTTCCCCAGGTCACTGTGATGCACAATTCTAGGTGAAAACTAGAGAAGCAGGCAAGCATCACTTCAGTATCATCTCTCTTCCATAAAACCTTTATCACTTGGGGATTTGGCCAAAAGGAGGGAAGAATAAGAGAAAGTCACTTCCTGTAAACTCAATTTAATTTTCCTGGGTAGGGACATGCAGGGACTAGATAAATTCAAAAGCTAACTTGATTTCATTACATAAACTGCTTATCTCCCACCTCTCAGCAACACACTGTAGATCTGAGAGTAGAGTTTAGAATCTTATTAAGTGTCTACTTCTGTCAGAAAACGATTAGATGTCAATTAATTATTTGTTCTTCCTTTTTCTTTTCCACTTAATTACCATATGATCCTGTCAATCTGGCTTCCTTAAAATCCCTATAAAAGTAATCTCTAGGCAGGTTTACAATTCAACAACTTTCTTTTCCAAACTAAGAATTAATATCACCCAAATTTAAGGGCATCTTTTCTATATATAAACTGGAAACAAACAAACTTATTGTGGTATTTTTCCTCAGTTATCTAATTTCCAAAATAGACTGAATACTTCTTATCACTATCCTTTTCCATTTCTCCTTTTTAAATCTTACTGACAATCACTTTGATATAACTTGCGCTGATTAAGCACAAGTAGGTTATTTATTTTTAAATGTCTTTGTTTTAAGATAAAACTTACTTCAAAGAAAATTTTGCTTTCTTGTGTTATTTTGTACTAATTAGAAAAAAAAATTGGTGCAAAAAAGTGTATGAAAAAAAAGATTTTATCTTTAAGAAATTAATTGTTTTCACAATATTTGCCATGAAAGCATAAAAGAAAGCTTATGCTCTAATACTTCTTTAAAAATATCAATATTTTAAGGGAAATCTTCAACAATTAAGTAATTTCAAATTATTTTAATTCAGGGAATGCTCGAGTTCCTAAATATGGAAAATTTACCCTATAAACATCATTGTTAATATAAAGGTATTTCATTTCAAATATTTAGGAAATAAGGTTGGTTGATTTATACCTTGTTTTTGGCTTCAGTATTTGCATTGTGCAAAAGTAGTTTTACTGCTATTGATGTGTTCTCAATATAAACAGCATAGTGGAGAGCTGTATTGCCACTGGAGTCCTTGACATTTGGATCAGCGCCATGTTCTAACAGAATAGTTGCACATTCCTCTTCCTGGCACTGTACAGCCTGTCAGTATCATACCAAGAAACAGATTGTAAATTCAAGTTAATTCAAGATAAACATTCTACAGGTTTCACCAGTTATATCTAAATGGGATAAATTCATTTTTATTTTAAGAATTTAAATCAAACTCATCTCCTGCCGAAATGGTTGGCTACTACCTACCTTAATTAGTGCTGTGCTGCCGTCACTGTCACAGATGTCAATGTTGCATTTCCTCTCTACCAGAAGAGTCACCACTTCTGGATGACCATAGGCACAGGCAAAGTGTAGAGCAGTCCTGACAGTGAAAGAATTTTTTGGATATTACAGAGCACCATCTGAAGGTACACAATTATTCATGCGACTACAAACATTAAATAACATGTAGTTCCTTTGCCTTCAAAGCAAATATTTTCTTCTGAAGTACAGTATTTATAGTTCTTACTACTCATTACATTAATAGAGATGCAACCTATTTGATTCATGCACCCTTCCTTTCTCTTCCTCCCTCTCTCTCTTTTGTGGTGTTGGGGATAGAATCCAGGGCCCTGAGCATAGTAAGGCAAGCACTACCACTGAACTATCTACACCCCCAGTCAATTTAGAGCAGCCTCTGAATAGAAAGAACATCAACTTCAGTTTGAATCCTACTTTAAGCTCGGATCCTTACTAGTTATTCCTTAACTTTTCTATGTCTCATTTTTCTTACCCTTAAGATTGGGATGAAAAATAGTAGTTACCTCACAGGACACCACCAAAGTGCTTAAATGAAAATCCATGCAAGGTATTTAGAATTGTTTTAAATTCAACAATTTTTAAAAATTGTTTTAAATTCAACAATTATTAGATATCATAATTATTATTAATAATTATTAGTTTTTGGCTTCAGTATTTGCATTGTGCAAAAGTAGTTTATCATTATTAGTAATAATTACTATTACTAATAATATTACTAATACCTAACAAAAACAAGATTTCAATTAAGTAAAATAATACAATTATACCTACTTTGCAGATATGGATTTCAATGAGTCTAAAATGCTATTTTTCTTACATTTCAACATCTGAGATACTGGAATGCCACTTGTTTTTGTCATCTCTGCATTGTTGTGACCGAAAGACCCAACAAGAACAATGTAGAAGAGGAAAAGTATATTTTGGTTCGTGGTTTCAGAGTTTTAGTCCATGGTTAGCTGACTTTATAGCTGTAGGCTTGAAGTAAGGCAGACATCATGGCAGAAAAATATGGAGGGAGGAATGTAGCTCAACGCAAGGCAAACAGGAAGCCGAGAGAGTTCCATTCACCAGGGACAAATTATAAAACCCCAAAGGCTTGCCAGTGAACTACTTCTTCCAGACACACCCTACCTGCCTATAGTTACCACCCAGTTAATCCATATCAGTGCATTAATCCACTGATTGGGTTAAGGTTATCAAAAACCTGATCTTTTTACCTCTGAACATTCTTGCATTGTCTCACACATGAACTTTTGGGAGATGCCACACATCTGAACCACAATGTCAATTACAGTTCATAATGTGTTATAACTATAAATGACATTTAAAAAATTTTAATACACAAAATAACTGCTTATCACACAATCTGTGGTGCCTTATAAAAAGTGAAATACAATAGTTCTATGGCAGTTCTGTTTATATGGTTGGCATTTAAATTGCATATATAATAAAAATGTGTATAAGAAATGCATATATAATAAAATCTACAAGCATAGATTAAAAAAATTTCCTTTACTTGTGAACATACAAACACATACACTCAAACTAATAGAAAATGAGAATTTTTTTCTGTGCTGGACTCTTATCCCTGCTCTTCACAAGGCTTATTTTTTATTAACAATAAACTTTTACTGGAACTTCTATACATGTTCACTGTAGAAATCAGAGAAAGAAAATAGAAGAAAATAGAAAAAAAAGAAGTTCATGCAGAACTTTTACCAATATTAATCATATGCTAGGCCAAAAAGCCAGACTCATCAAATTCAAATACTGAATTAACAGAGTATATTTCTAGTGTCAATGAAACTAAGCTAGAAACAAATAAAAAGATGAGAAACCCACAAATTGGAAGTAGAATAATACACTTCTAAGTAATAGAAAATGAAAAAGAAAATTTTATATCATTTTGTATATCTTTTTGGCTAAAACAAGAGCAGAGTCAAATAATTTGTGTATCTGTATAATCAAACTGACTTTTTTCCTCACTTGATAAAACAAAGTATATCTTCCCATGTCAACAGACATGATATTTATGCAAAATTCAATGATTATATTCTAAACAATTGATACATTGTAATTTGTAAATTACTAGAACAATCTATTCTATGGGTTCTTCTTCTTCTTCTTTTTTTTTTGTTTCAGGGATTGAATTCAGGGGTGCTTAACCACTGAGCCACATCCCCAGCCCTTTTTTAATTTTGAGACAGGGTCTCACTAGGTTGCATATGGTCCCGCTAAATTGCTGAGGCTGTCTGCTGCCTCAACCTTCCGAGCTGCTGAGATTAGGTTCTTAATGCATTGTTATTTTAAGCAGTGCTGAGAAAAACAAATTGTGTCACTTATTATTTCCTAAAGATATTCTACTATAATAAAATTTGTTGGTAGAAACATATACATTTTAAAATAGGGTACAGTAGATCAAATTGTCTATTTGAAAAGTCATAATTTAAGCTTTAAGCAGAAGTATGCCACTGCTTTTCATTCTCACAAATTTTGTAATTGGTAAACACTATTTTATTCCTCTTTTAACTTAATTTCCTTCTCTTACCAGGGACAAAGAAATTTTTCCAATGTCCATAGGTAACTTGTAGATCTGCACAAGTGTTCCTTATCAAATTAAGTAAGAGTTCAAGATCTAGAGGTAAACTTTAGTGGTATAGTACTTGCCTAGAAAGCACAAGGCCTTCAGTGCAACCCCCAGTATAAAAAAAAATAAATGGAGTTCAGTTTTTTTCCTTGTTAATTTGAAAGAATTTTCTGTATAATGAAGATATATTTTTTTATCTGTATTATATGTTATATATGTATAAATATTTTGCAACAGTTTTTTATTTTAATTCTTTTTCTGATATACAGAGGTTTAGATTTTTCATTTCTGCTAACTGACCCTTGGAACAGTTTCTTTTAGGCTAGGGGTATAGCTTCGTGATAGTGTGTGCTTCCTAAGCACTAGTCCCTAAGTTCAATCCTGAGTCCCACAAAAGGAAAAAGAATGCTTGCTTTTGAGTTTATTCTTAGGAAGGTCTTGGCCAATATAAAAAATATATAATGCAGAAGTAGGCCTGTGTATTTTCTTTCATATTTTTCTCATTCTGTATTATTAAAATTTTTTAATCTATACTCTATGGAGAAACTTAACTTGTGACATAATAACCTAGCTAGTTTATTCCAGTTATCAGGCACTTCATATATGAATAATTCATCTTTTCCTATTAATATGGAATGTCATTGGTTTCAAGTTCTAAATTCTTACATACATTTGGGTGTTTCTGGATTTTTCTATTCTGTTGCATTAGTTTATCTGTCTTTTCAGTTTCCAGTATCAATTAGTTTGTGAAAATTAATAGTGTATTTTAATACCAAGAAGAGCAAGTCCTTATTACAAAAAAAAATTTCTGTCATCACAATAGTAAAAGCATGGGGAAATAAAAAATGCTAACTTTTCGGGCTGGGGCTGTAGCTCAGTGTTAGAGTCCTTGCCTCTCATGTGTGAGGCACTGGGTTCAATCCTCAGCACCACATAAAAATAAATAAAGATATTATGTTCATCTACAACTAAAAAAATTTTTAAATGTTAACTTTGATTTTTTACCTGGTTTATCTAAAATAAATATAGAAAGATCTCACATTTTTGGAATAAGTCTTCCTTGTTCAACAGAGAACTATCTTTCCAATAGTTATACACTTCATAAAAACATGGATATTATTTTTTTCTAAGCATTTAAAGCCCTTTAGCTGATAAAAATTATTTCTCTCATGCACTTTCTACACCGTATACATGGTTTTAGAATTATGTATTTTAAAAATAAACTGTTGCATATACTTAATTTTGTTAAGTTAATCACTTTTCAATAGTCAAAGAGCTTTACATGGGAATCATAAGTGGATCGGAAATGAGCTAAAGTTTTGTTTTAGTTTTGCTGCTCATGAAGCGGTTCTGGGTGTTAGATCCCTCGGAAGCCTGTACTTCCCAGGTGCCTGAGGGGGTCCAGCTGGGGAGGTGCCCCTTTCTTCCATGCCCCCCTCCTCCCGCACCAAACCCGTAGCCCTTTGGCTCAAAGCCCCTACCTATTACCTGTTCTTCTTGTCTTTATCATTCACGCCATTTTCCCCAAGAATAAGGAGATGCTGCACTTTGGCTACATTGCCCATGCTTGCAGCCTTGTGGATCTTTCCTGTATCCTTGTCTCGGATGTGGTACCTGGGCGAGTTCAGACTACTGGCATTCTCAAGCCCAAAGCCCACGCAGTTCCTTCGCAGGTTGCTGGAGGAGCCCAAAGGCGAACGGCCCTTACTTCCGAAGCCAAAAATCCTCTTCATGGCAGAAGCCAACCGCCTCAGGGGTACCTTTCCTCCTCCTTGGCTTTTCACCGCCTCCGGAACTCAATATTGGCTGTCACAGATAAGCAAACCTAGTCTCGCCACAACGACCCAAAGGGGCAGCTCCAAGGTTCCATTTTTTCAGGAAAAAATTATCGTCTCCAAGCAACACCACTTAAGTCCCAGTGCGCGTGCGCGGTCTTAGTCTGCGCAGACGCTACTCACTTTCACAAAAGGCCGGTAACCGAGGTTGCTCAGTGCGCATGTACAAAGCCTCATTTCTCCAATCTCCGCTCTTTAGGCCTCCTGTGTTTCTTTCTCCTGTGTTTCTTTGTGTCAGGTTTGTCACAACAGTGCTCTTCCTTGGAGAAGGCTTGGGACTCCAGTCTAACGGCAACTAGTGCGCGGGTAGCCCAACTTACTAGGCCATGTCGCTGGAAAATCGCGCAGTTGTTCCCTGGCGGTCGGACAATAAAGGGCCCCAGAGTGTAGGCAGCATCTCGCGGGCAGCCGGAGGTGGCCGGCCGCCTGGATTTGAAGAAGGGGTTCCGAGGGAGGGGCGGGCGCGGGACTTGCAAAAGTTCCCTTGAACTCTTGGGACACGTCGGAGGTGAGACTGCCAGAGCTCCGGCAACCAACCGCTTCCACCCGTGCCCTTCTCCTGGGGAGGGGACCTCGGCGGGGCTCAACAAATGGTGGCTTCGCGGGCCTCTCCAGGTACGACATGGGTTGTGTGGGACTTGGGGCCGGGCCAGGCCAGGCCTGGATCTTGCTGTGAGCAACTTGGGCTGCTGCTTCTGTGCGCCCGGCGCTCCAGGACTTAGCTCTGATTTGTCTCTTGGTGGACTTTGTATTTCTGTAGAAACAGTGGGCTCTGTAAAAGGTTGAACACGTCAAGTCACCTGGTTTCTGTGCATTCAGGTCAGGCCAGCCTGCTAGTGCCACACCTGCCGTTGCCTCTTATAGAAAAGCATATAAACCATGTCTTTAAAAGCAAAAATGTACTTAAAGAATTTGGTTGGGGATGGGTGGAATATGCGTACGGATGTGGTTATGAAAGAAAAAGGGGATTCGTTTTGCGGAGCGCTTTATTTGCATGGAATCTCTATTCATTTGGAAGTTCTTGGAATTAGAAGTGACAGTTTCCATAGAGCAATATAGAGAGTCAATTTTAGGATAAAAATTAATGGAATATGTAAAGAGATTATGTACATTTTGGATCAGAATATATACCCGAAGAAAACAACATAATCTTAAAATTTTGGTTTGACTTGGGAAAAGTAATTTCTTTTTTTTTTTTTTAATTTTTTAATTTTTTATTGTGGGTTGTTCAAAACATTACAAATTTATTGACATATCATATTCCACACTTTGATTCAAGTGGGTTATGAACTCCCACCTTCACCCCATACACAGATTGCAGAATCACATGTTACACATCCATTGATTTACAAATTGCCATACTAGTGTCTGTTGTGCTCCGCTGCCTTTCCCATCCTCCACCCTCCCCCCTCCCCACCTCTCCCCTCCCCTCCCCTCCTCTCTCTCTACCTCCTCCACTGTATAACCCTGAGGGTCTCCTTCCATTACCATGCAATTTCCCTTCTCTCTCCCTTTCCCTCCCACCTCTCATCCCTGTTAAATGTTAATCTTCTTCTCCTGCTCTTCCTCCCTACTCTGTTCTTAGTTACTCTCCTTATATCAAAGAAGACATTTGGCATTTGTTTTTTAGGGATTGGCTAGCTTCACTTAGCATAATCTGCTCTAATGCCATCCATTTCCCTGTAAATTCTATGATTTTGTCATTTTTTAATGCAGAGTAATACTCCATTGTGTATAAATGCCACATTTTTTTTATCCATTCGTCTATTGAAGGGCATCTAGGTTGGTTCCACAGTCTTGCTATTGTGAACTGTGCTGCTATGAACATCGATGTAGCAGTGTCCCTGTAGCATGCTCTTTTTAGGTCTTTAGGGAATAGACCAAGAAGGGGAATAGCTGGGTCAAATGGTGGCTCCATTCCCAGCTTTCCAAGAAATCTCCATACTGCTTTCCAAATTGGCTGCACCAATCTGCAGTCCCACCAGCAATGTACAAGTGTACCCTTTTCCCCACATCCTCGCCACTTCCTAATGGCTGCCAATCTTACTGGAGTGAGATGGTATCTTAGGGTGGTTTTGATTTGCATTTCTCTGACAGCTAGAGATGTTGAGCATTTTTTCATGTACTTGTTGATTGACTGTATGTCCTCCTCTGAGAAGTGTCTGTTCAGGTCCTTGGCCCATTTGTTGATTGGGTTGTTTGTTCTCTTATTGTCTAATTTTTTGAGTTCTTTGTATACTCTGGATATTAGGGCTCTATCTGAAGTGTGAGGAGTAAAGATTTGTTCCCAGGGTGTAGGCTCCCTATTTACCTCTCTTATTGTTTCTTTTGCTGAGAAAAAACTTTTTAGTTTGAGTAAGTCCCATTTGTTGATTCTAGTTATTAACTTTTGTGCTATGGGTGTCCTATTGAGGAATTTGGAGCCCGACCCCACCGACTGTAGATCGTAGCCAACTTTTTCTTCTATCAGACGGCGCGTCTCTGATTTGATATCAAGCTCCTTGATCCATTTTGAATTCACTTTTGTGCATGGCGAGAGAAAGGGATTCAGTTTCATTTTGTTGCATATGGATTTCCAGTTTTCCCAGCACCATTTGTTGAAGATGCTATCCTTCCTCCATTGCATGCTTTTAGCCCCTTTATCAAATATAAGATAGTTGTAGTTTTGTGGATTGGTTTCTGTGTCCTCTATTCTGTACCATTGGTCCACCCGCCTGTTTTGGTACCAGTACCATGCTGTTTTTGTTACTATTGCTCTGTAGTATAGTTTGAAGTCTGGTATCGCTATACCGCCTGATTCACACTTCCTGCTTAGAATTGTTTTTGCTATTCTGGGTCTTTTATTTTTCCATATGAATTTCATGATTGCTTTCTCTATTTCTACAAGAAATGCTGTTGGGATTTTGATTGGCATTGCATTAAACCTATAGAGAACTTTTGGTAATATCGCCATTTTGATGATGTTAGTTCTGCCTATCCATGAACAGGGTATATTTTTCCATCTTCTAAGATCGTCTTCTATTTCTCTCTTTAGGGTTCTGTAGTTTTCATTGTATAAGTCTTTCACCTCTTTTGTTAGGTTGATTCTCAAGTATTTTATTTTTTTTGAAGATATTTTGAAAGGAGTGGTTGTCCTCATTTCCATTTCAGAGGATTTGTCCCTGATATACAGGAATGCCTTTGATTTATGCGTGGTGATTTTATATCCTGCCACTTTGCTGAATTCATTTATTAGCTCTAATAGTTTCTTTGTAGAGCCTTTTGGGTCTGCTATGTATAGAATCATATCATCTGCAAATAGTGATAATTTAAGTTCTTCTTTTCCTATTTTTATGCCTTTAATTTCTTTCGTCTGTCTAATTGCTCTGGCCAGTGTTTCGAGAACTATGTTGAACATAAGTGGAGAGAGAGGGCATCCCTGTCTTGTTCCAGAAAAGTAATTTCTTTATAAAGCTTTTTCCTAATGAAAATTGTGTATCTACTTTGTCTTATTTTAAATTCTTATGTAAATTACATGAGTTCTTTCATAAATTATTTTTGATAATAAAGCAAGTTCTTTTTACTATTACTCTTTTTTGATGATGACATACACAAGATTTATTTAACTAAATGTATTTTTTATTTTGTACTAATAGACATGTTTTTTTTTTAGTACCTTACTATCATCAAGCTACGTGAATATTCTTTTTTGTTTTTATTAGTGCATTATAGATATACATAATATTGGGGTTCATTTTGACATAATCATACATGAAATACAATTTGTTGCACTTCAGTCCCCAGTACTTCCTCCTTCCTTCTCCCTTCGCTCCTCCCTTCTGTACTCTATTGTACTGGTCTTCTTTCAATTTATTTACAGTATTTTTTTTAATATTGGTGCTTTGTAGATATGCATAAAGGTGCAATTTATAGTATAGTATATTCATTTATGTATATATCTTAGTACATATCATAATATGGTCAATTTTATTCTGTATTTCCTCCCTTTTCCCAGCCCCCTCCCTCCTTTTCTATTCCCTTTCTCTATTTCACTGATCTTTCTTCCATTTTCATGGGATCCCTCCATCCCCACTTTTTTCCCTTCTCATTTTACTCTAGTTTCTGCATATGAGAGAAGACATTTGACCCTTGACTGGCTTATCTTATAAGCTTAGCATGATTTTCTCCATTTCTATCCATTTACCCACAAATGCTATAGTTTCATCCACTTTATGGCAGAGTAAGACTCCCACATTTTCTTAATCAGTTTGTCTATTAATGGGCATCTGGGCTGATTCCATAGTTTGGCTATTGTAAATTGTGTTGCTATAATCATTGAAGTGACTGAATCACTTTAGTATGTTGATTTTATTCTTTTAGATAAAGACCAAGGAGTGGGATAGCTGGGTCCTATGCCAGTTTCATTCCTGGTCTTTTGAGGAACCTCCATTCTACTTTCCAAAGTGGTTGTATGGATTGTCACTTGTATCATTAAGTCTTCCCATCTTAGAGCATGATGTGTTTTTTATTTGCTCATATCTTGATTTGTGTTATATTCCCTATAGTTATTACATCATTTTAAACATTATTATTAATGAAGCTTTTTCTCCATTTCCATTTTTAAGGCATTTTTCCTAATATGATTATAGGTATTAGTTTTCCCAAATCTGTATCCCATATCTCATGGCAAACTTAAAATCTTGGTGATGATTTTTATAATAGTCTCAGGTTTTCTAACTGAATAATCACATTATTAATAAGAAAGTCATCACTTTTCAAGTATATGACATTTAATTCATTTCTTATTTGATCTAATTAAATTAATTTAATCTAGGTAAGTCCAGTTAAACGGTTGTTTTATGATCATTTATTTATTTGTGATTCTTTACTTTTGTATGCTAATAGAAATAGCTGGCTTGTCCCTGGTTTCTTATTTTAATTGAAATACTGCTAATGTTTTACCGTTTTAAATGATAATGTATATTTTTTATTTTTAGAAATAGTGTTTGTTGTATTTGCCAATCCTTTTTCCAGTTTTGATCAGAAATGCTTCCCATATTTTTTAATCTTGTTTCTTGAGATATTTTTTTTAAAAAAATATTGAGTAAATAGACTGTTGAGTAAATAGACTGTCTCTGAGAAGGAATCTCATTTACTTGCTTAGAGTGTATTTTTCTTGGTTGATGGATTTTCTTTGCAAATTTTTTATCTATATTTTTTCCATTTTTTATTCATTGGTGACATTTTTGCAGCATTTTATGAGGTTTTAATATTAATGTTTTGCCAAGATAATATCATGAAAATTGAGACTCCATTTTTGTTGTACATGGTCTGGGATATTTTTAAATTCATTAAAATTTAAAGTTTACTAGAATTCATTTATGAAATCATCTGTATGATATGGAAAATGACAAACCCACACTATTTTAGGATTTGTCATTTTCCATTTCTTACAAATTTTGCACATTAATTTTGTATCCTGTTACTTTGCTGTACATATTTACCAGCTCTATAAGTCTTCTGATGGAATTGTGAATAGAATTGCTTTTCTGTTTTCTTTTCCAGGGGATTCATTATTGGTTTATATAGAAGCTATTGATTTTTGTTAGCACAAAATGACCAAGCTGGGTGCAAACTTCACAGATCAGCACAGCCTTTATTCAGCAGTGGAGTTGTGCATCTGGTGGACCCACTTTTCTCATGGAAAATGAGCCACTGGCCAAAGGAGGAATCTGTGCTTATTATATATGTTACACTGAGCGATGACTTGATTATTGATAGAGCATGTCAGTTTGGGCACTCAGGAAACAGGTTTGTAAGAATTTGAGATTTGTTTTTACTGGGCATTATTTTTACTTGGGGAAAAATGGAGGGTCAGGGTCAATGTTCAGTGCTTGTCTCTTTCCCAATAGAGTCTCATTGTATAGTCACTGGGAAAGGATTTATTTGGGGAAGGATCAATGTTTTTGCTTCCTCCCAGAGACTGCCATTTCAGGCTTGATGGATATCTCCTTCCCAGGGATTGTCTTTTCTTCCTTCCAAGAGATTGTCCTGTTACTGGAAAAAAATATATTGGGAAAGGATCAGTGTTACCAATGTGTTGCCTTCTTCCTTACTCCCTCTTCCCAGGCCACATTATTATGGGGTTTGTCATTTTTCATATCTTACAATTTTTGTATGTTAATTTTGTGTCCTGTTACTCTGTTGTATATACTTACTAACTCTACAAGTTTTCTGGTAGAATTTTATGGGTGAACAGTAATAGCTAAACTTTTTTCTTTCCTTTTTATATTTCTTATTTCCCTGTTGTGCCTAATTTCACTGACTAAAATTTCAAGTATTATATTCAATAGAAGTGTCAACAGTTGACATCCTTGATCCTGATTTTAGAGGAAAATTTTTTCAGTTTTTTTTTTCCCCCATGAAGTATAATGTTGGCTTTGAGTTTGTTGTACGTAACCTTAAAGATGTTGAGGTAATTCCCTCTATCTCTATTTATTTATTTATTTATTTGGTCCTGGGGATTGAACCCAGGGGTGCTTTACCACTGTGCTACATCTCCAGCCCTTTTTATTTTTTGTTTTGAGCACAATCTCACTAAGTTGCTTAGGGCCTTACTAAGTGTCTGAGACTGTCCTTGAACTTGGGATCCTCCTTATCCTCCTCACTCAGCCTCCCAACCTGCTAGGGTTACAGGTGTAAGCTACCACACCCTAATTATACATAACAGTGGTATTCATTATAATATATTTGTAAATGAATGTAGTCTAATTGGTCTGTTTCATTTTCCCATAACTTCCCCTTTCTCTTCCCTCCTCCTTCCTCATATTCCCTACATCTATTGGAGTCCCTACTCTTCTATTGGAGCTCTGTCCCTAATTTATATAGGGTTTTTAACATGAAAGGCTTTTTCTGCATCTAATGAGATGAACATTTTCCTTACTTCTATTTATGTAATGAATTATGTCTCTGATTTTGGTATTAGAGTAATACTGTCTTTATAGAATGGCTTTGGGAGTACCTTCCCACCCCCACTTTCTATTTTATGGAACAATTTGAGGAGCGTTCTTATTAGTTCTTTGAAGGTCTGACAGAATTCAGCTGGAAATTTGTCTGATCCTGGGCTTTTCTTTGTATTGGGCTTTTTGTTACTTCTTCAATCTCATTGCTTCTTTTTTTTTTTTTAATATTTATTTTTTTAGGTATAGATGGACACAGCACAATGCTGGTGCTGAGGATCGAACTCAGTTCCCGCCCATGCTAGGTGAGTGCTCTACCACTGAGCCACAATCCCAGCTCTCATTGCTTCTTATCATGTTTAGATTTTCTGTATCCTCTTGATTCAATTTTGGTAGTTCACATATATGTCTAATAATTTGCTCATTTATTCTAGACTTTCCAATTTGCTGTAATATAAATTTTCAGAGTAGTCTGTAAAAATCTTCTGGATTTTAGAAATGTCTGTGGTGTATCTCCTTTCTAACCTCTAATTTTATTAACTTGGGTCTTTGTTTTGTTCAGCTAAGGCTTATTCTTTTCTTTGAAGTTCTCTTATTAATTTGGCTCTTAGTTATTTCTACTGATTTTGGAATTGGTTTATTCATAATTTTCTAGGACCTTTTTTGGTGATTTTTTTAATATAGAAACTTAATAGCTATAAACTCTCCTTAGAACCATCTTCATAATGTTCTAGAGATTCTGATGTGATTTACCTCTATTCTCATTATTTCCTTTATGATCCATTCATTGTTTAGAAGTGGATTGTTTAATGTCCATGTGTTTATGTAATTTCTTTTTCCCCCATAGCTTTATTGATGTAAAATTGAAGTACAATAAAATGCACATATTTGAAGTATGCAATTTGATCAGTCTTGACATGTCTGTAACAAATACAATCAATATAAAAAGGATTTCCATTACTTTTTTTTAAAATTTGAAATCATGCAGACTGTGTTTCCTGCATGATTTATTACATTAGATATCAATCATCTTAAGATATATAGAACCCCACCCCCACATGTCAACTATTTCAAAATTAAATGGCACACTTATAAATATCTCAGAGGCCAAGGAAGGAAAGTGAATGAAAAGTGTTTTGAACTAAATGATAATAAAAGCTTAAAATATCAGGATCTCTGGGAAGAAACAGTACTAGGTGAACACTTATAACTTAAAATACTTATATCAGAAAGAAGCTAGAATTCTAATCAATACAATTATTTTCAAATTTTTTAGTAGGAAGGAAAAATAAAGGTAGGAGAAGAAATATATGAAATAGAAAAGAAATAATACAGCTAAAATTTGATAAAAATCAAAAAAGTCTAATCAAAAAAACAAAAACACAGAAATTAGTATCAATGGAAAGGAAGCTATCAAAATAACCTTGCAGATGCTGAAAATGTATTAAGGTAATATTACAATTGTATGCCAACATATATGATAGCTTATATAACTATGTTGGCATACAATTGTAATATATTAGAGAAAGATTCATGTGCTGCTGAGAAGAAAGTATATTCAGTCATTGATGGATGAAACATTCTATACATGTCCATTAAGTATAAATTATTAATTGTATTTTTTCACTTGTATAGCTTCTTTTTTTAGTTTTTGTTTGGAGGCTATATCCAGTGGTGACAGATGCAGGTTAAAGTTACCCAGTATTTTTGTTTTATGGTTTTTTGGATTCTTGATTTTGAAAAGGTTTGTTTGATGTACATCAAACAAACCTTTGTACATTTTTGTTTTCTTGATAGTTATGATTGTTATGCCTTGTTCATGTATAGTTCCCTTAAGCAGTATGAAATGTTTTTCTTTATCTCTTCTGATTAACTTTGGTTTAAAGTCCACTTTATGTGATATGAGGATAGAAACCCTGCTTCTTAATGTGATCCATGTGAGTGAGATATATTTTCCCATTCTTTCACCTTCAATCTGTGGATGTCTTTGACTATATCTTAGAGACAGCATTTTGTTGGGTCTTGGCTTTTAATCCAATCTGCCAGTCTGCATCTTTTGATTGATGAATTAGGCCATTAATGTTCAGAGTTATTATTCAAATATGAGTTGTATTCTCAGTCATTTTGGTTTATTTCTAGTTTTTAATTTGAATTGGTTTCTCCTTTAATTGATGATTCCTTTAGTATAGTTCCTCCCTTTCTGGTTTTTACTTTTTTTCATTTCATCTTCATGGAATATTTGGTTGAGAATGTTCTGGAGTGCAGACTTTCTAGTAGCAAATTCTTTTAACTTTTTTGTTTATTATGGAAGATTTTTATTTCATCTTCAAATCTGAAGCTTAAGTTTGCTGGATACAGGATTCTTGGTCGGCATCCATTTTCTTTCAGAACTTGATATATGTTATTCCAGGACCTAGCTTTGAGGGTCTGGGTTGAGAAATCAGCTGAGATCCAAATTGGTCCCCCCATAAGTAATCTGATACTGTTTTCTTGCAGCCTTTGAAAGCACCCCTGCCTCCTTAGCTTGCAGATTGTATCACATCCCCTCACCCAAAAAAAGCCTCATTTGATGTGCTGGGGTAAAATCTGTAACATGTGCCAGTCTGTCCTTCAGCCCCTTCAGAGCTGGTGTGGAGAGCACCACTGTTATGGTATGGATATAAAGTGTCCCCCAAAAGCTCATGTGTGAGACAGTGCAAGATTTGGAGGAAAATGGTTGGGTTATACATAGCCTTAACCAAATCAGTGAATTAATCTCTAGTGGGATTAACTGAGTGGTAACTATAGGGAGGTGGGGTGTGGCTACAGGAAGTGATTCATTGCAGATGTGTCTACAAGGTATATATATATATTTTATTTTTTAATTTTTTTATATTATTGTCCCGTCCGGCAGGACACATCAACGTGGGCAGTGAACCTAGATGGGGAGGAATGAAGGGACAAGAGACAGGAAAGGTGACAGCAAGACAAAAATTCTGATCAAGCTGCAAACTTTTATTGTTCACACAGGGGTATTTATATGCTGGGGATGGGGAAGCTCTCTAATCAACAACTGCTGGATGTGGGTGGTAAAACTGCCAGGTGCAAGATGTCTGATGATCCTGATAACCGCAAGATGTTCCAGGGAGATAGGTGGCTGCAGGATGCCTCCCAGGCAGGATGTCTCCCAGGGGGCTGTCAGGCTAATCTTTGAAGGAGAATTTCCTTCTAGTCCCTGACATCTCCCCCTTTCTTATATAAAATATTTGACCATACCTTACCGGCCATGTTTTTAGGGGGTGATAGAGGCTCTGTTCCTCTAGAAGGCCTTAGAATATCTCCTGATCTGAGCGAGGGTCTTCACTAGGAGATTTCGTGGTGGCCTTGGCATGTTTTTGGAGGAGACGGCTTTGAGGGGGGAGCATGCCAACTGCCATGCACCAGAGCGTGTCACTCAGAGGTCTTGGGTTTTGGGATCCGTGGATCCATCCTCCTGCAGTCCTTCCTGCACCCTCCTTCATTATGGCCTAATATCCTCACTCCATGGGTGAGTCCTCCCCCAAGCAGAGGAGCCCATGGAGGAGTGAACCCTTATGGCAAGGGCAGAAGATGGTTGGTCAGAGCTGTTACTTATACTTTTATATAAGAAAGAGAGATTTGTGGGGATGTAAACTTAAGAAATAAGCCTGAGAGAAGGGTAGAACATCCTTTTAAATGTTGGCAGCACGGTCTTCCATCTCCAAACGGTGATAGTGGACCTGTATGGGCTTAGAGGCCAAAATATTAATCTGTTCTTTAATAAATTGTACCAGCCTGTTTATAATGCAGGGTCCTATGGACACTATTAAAAGTAAACCCAACAAAGGGCCTAATAAGGGAAGAAGGTAGGGTAAAAATCCATTAAGCCCAGTCCAGAGGGGATTTTCAAATAGTTCCCTTCTTCTCTTTTTTAGATCTTCTTGAATCTGCTTAATTTTAGTGCGTACTATGCCTGATTTATTGGCATAAAAGCAGCTTTCCCCTAAGGCCAAGCAAATACCTCCCTGGTTAGCTGTCAGCAAATCTAAGCCTCGTCTGTTTTGAAGGACCTCTTCTGCCAGATTGTCTATTTGGTCCTGTAAATCTTTAATAGTTCCTGATAGAGTTTGTACATCATCTATAAGTTGTTGAGATAGGCGACGGTAAGAGTGTATAGCCGTGCCTAAGCCAGCTGTACCTGTGCCCACAGCAGCTGTTATTCCAAGGCTGGCAAGGAGTGGTAAGGCCTGTATTGCCCGCCTGTGTCTTTTGACTAAGGTGTCTAGGCTAGGAATGGGTAGAGGTTCATCTCCTGGGACAATAGTTATATCAGGGAGTAATAAGGCAAGAACACAGCCACCGGTCCAATTCGCTGGAAGCCTGGGGAAGGCTGAGTTTCCTCCACACATAAAAACTGTGCCATTGGGGGGACAAAGAGATGGGGTGGGTGAGGAATAATTTTTTACTGTTGAGCAATTTCCAAAGGAAGTAACTCCAACATCAATATCATAGGTATTATTCTGCATCGCGCCTAAAAGACATGATGTAAAAGTGCCTATAGGCTGTACTTTAAAAGGAAATCCAGGTTGGCATGTATTATCATTGTCTATGATAGAATTATTAGGAACTGCCATAGGCATGATTGCCCCTGTTGTCATGCAGAGCCAGCAATCACCAGCAAGGGTGGGGTTGGAATTATTAAGCAAGGAGAAGGTGGTTTCCAAAATATCTAATGTATCGGTATCTAAATCTGGGAGCTGGGATTTAGGCAGCATTAAGGGATGATATGTGAGCTCAGGGATTTGGGGTTTCAAAAGTTTGATTATCTGAAGATGCTTGACAGCATCAGTGTGTCCTCCACCATCAGAGACCCCTGTAGGGGCCTTAATGGGCCAGCAGGAGGGTTTACCGACAGTGCCTTGGCATCCAGCTGACTGTAACTTGGTGTATATGCCTTCTCCTCCCCGGTCAAAGAGAACGGGAGTATAGTGAATAGTGGTCCCCTCTGCTGCATGAGTTTTAGTTAGGGTGGCTTCAAAAAATTGTTCTCCCTGCTTGTTAACACAAATTGAGGCTGACGCATAACAAGAGACATGCATCGCCTGGGTATGGTAAGTTGCAGAACAATTTTGGAGAGCTTTGAGAGATATCAATGAAAATATAGTTAAAATCCTTAGATATTTTGTAGACATAATTATAATTATCATCTTATGAGTTTGAACAGTCACTTTGAGAATTAGAAACTACTTGAAGATTGTATTTTCACTTAAAAGCAAATTTATAGT